AAGTTTTGAAGGGCCCAAAACAACTTTTTTTTTTTTTTTTTTTTTTTTTTTTTTTTTTTTTTTTTTTTTTTTTTTGTTTTGTTTTTTTAATAATTTAGCTTTAGCCTTTCTTTAAAGTCCTTAGATCAGAGTAGAGAGAACTGCATCACCTGTACCACTGATTTAGAATTGTCTGCAACAACAACTCAAATATTGCAAAAAACAAAAACAAAACAAACAAAAAAAAAACACTGTATTTCACATATTTAATGCTTATATGCACCAATTAAAAGAACATAAAAGCTACACATGTTCAGAAATTGTTCTTTCAGGTACCAGTACTTTATATTAACTCATGCTTAAACCTGTGCAAAACACATTTTTAGTAAATCAGCACAAATGGAAAGACAAACAGGGTGACAGCAGCTTTAGTTTGAAAAAGACATAAAAAATATAATGATGTCAGAAAAAAATGTCAGTCCTAATGCAGTAATATACATCCTTATAACAGACACACACACACACTCACACACGTCAAGACGCCAAGTTTATCTTTTCATTTAGACTCAAGTTAGAATCCTTACTTGAAAACACATTAAAACAATCTTTTTTTCTGCATTCAACATCATGTTTATGGTCTCAGACCTTGGTGGGAGAAGTAGCTGGACCTTCTGCATGGTAGTGCCTGAAGGTACATCGTTTTATTATGCATGTTAGTGCCTCCTCACACAATAGAGTCTGCATTCCCCTGAATAAATGAATATATTACCAGAGAATACAGGTTCCAGTTCAGGCCTGGAATTTTACATTTATTTTGTAACATTCTAAAGATTGCTATGACTTCTGATATGACTGCTTGGTGCATCAACCTTACTCATGTTTGGGAATTAATCTCTCACAGTATCCTGTGGCTGATTGCTCTGCTGTTTTTTGTGGGCGAGGATTTACCAGGACATGTTTTATTGTTTTTGCTTAGGTTTAATCTTCTTGTTACAGTTTGAACCTGCTCTGCTTCTGACACCGGTATGCCACCAACGTCACAGAAGCGCAGGAAAACAAAAGCTTTAATACAATTTTTCAGTTCACACACACAGTGCTGCATGTTTTTGGCTTGCAGCTTTAATAAACCACCGTCTCACTCTGACAGCTGTGTCATCTCGAGGCTGCGGTATTACTCACAGCTACATGGTGTCAGTGGTGACTACTGCGGGCTGGTCAGCCACTGATTATGTTCTGAAGCCCCCTCTCCAACTCATGCTACATTATAAATACATCTATGCCAGGCTTGCCCTATGACTTCAGGAAAATGTAGCAATTGTTTCAAAATAGCACATGTGGAATCCTCAAAAGGTGTTTGCATTGATTGCTATTACTGAAATTGAAGCATTTAAAGCCCATACATGACTAAAAAATAAACATTTATTACAGTTCATAAAGTTGATGATTCATACCACTCTGCTTTATGTTTCATTACTAATACCTCTTTTTACACACGTCGCTGTAGTCCGTAGTATGTGGTCTTCTATTAACTGATCATCCTTCAGAAATGAAGGAAAACTCACTGGTATGTGTTTGTTTATAAAAGTCTAATAGGTTTATCTCTGCCCTATCTTTGATTCCCAATAATCTGTTACTTTGCCCAACACATTATGGTCAATGTTCCCACAATTAAATCAAAATATGGAGAAATAATACAAAGGTGCTCAGTATTAAAGCTGAGCTTTAATACTGAGCACTAATAATAATGTATAATAATGTATTCTGAAGAAGCTGCTGTCTGAAACCTGTAGATGTCTCAGTATTGTTTTATGTTGTTTTATGACCTCAACAGTGTTGCTGTTTGTTGATTATTGTAAAAGTGTGCTGCTTGTTCTTTCTATGTGTTCTTCCTTCTCCTCCAGGTCATTAATGTAACTAAGAATTTGTTCTTATTAACTCATCTGGTTAATTAAGGGTTAAATTAAAAAAAAATAAAAAATAAAACTGATACAATTTCACACTATAATTTAAAAGATTAAAGATCTAGTGGTAATGGTTTGAAACGTTTGTTAAACCTTGATATGAGTGAAATGATTTCATGCTAATGGCATCCTTTTTGACCTGACAATATTTTCGCAAATGACTCAACAATTTAAAGACTCCACTGCATAACATAAAATATACCAGGACTAATGAATTTGGTCTAACAACCATAGGTTTTTTTGTAACAGTCTGATTGACTTCACCCTTTACTCTGACATTCAGGCTGAAAGTCAGACCCTTTTTGGCCGCGTCTGCATCCTGTCTGTCTGAGTGTTTGATGTGATGTGCTCAGTCTGCACTCATCTCTGGCTCGACCCAACATATTCGTGAGAGAGAGAATCGAGTTCAGTGTTTTAACACTTCTGTAGTTTATTTCTATTAAAATATTCATCTTTTATACGTTAACTTGAACAATAAATAGTTAGAATGTATTTACTTGTGAAACATGGAATTCAGATAAAACGTGAGCAAAAGAAACATGTTTCACCTTCTGTGTTGGGAGCAACACAGAAGGTTAGATGGAGATGAATCAAGCACTCTGTCTACCTCTGCATAAGTTTATCAGGAGCACACACACTGTTTCTTGGGGCTGAACGTGAGGAGTAAAAAAAAAATTAAAAAAATAAACCTACAAAGTCTGCATCACTCAATCAAATCTCACCTGGGGCTTTTCAGGCTGTTATAAAAACATTCCCACAATTCCAGGTGGTATTAATCAGTGTGTGAAACCATCTCTGTAATGTGTTTTTCACTCTTGGTGAGCGGTCCTTGGTGATCATGCTGTGGACATGGGGACTACTGTGTGTTTAGAGAAGGTGTGTGCGGACTCTGATGTTTCTGCTCATTATAGTTCCCAGTCAGTTTGTCTGGCATCAGAAGATTAAAGCCAAACTTTGTCACAGATAATTGAAATATCAAATAGTTAAATCCAAACAACTACAATGGCTTGCACTGACTCACAGCTCTTTCACTATGTTATAACCACGAGCTGCAATGTATCCACTAGAAACATATATTTTTTCTAAGAGATATAGGTTTATATTTTAACAGTTCCTCATTTGAATTTCTCAAGGTGGTTGTACAAGTGATCAAAAACAACATAAAACATACTCAGCATGTGAAATGAACAGAAATGTCAAAGGATTTGATTAAGAGGTAACATATGGACCCAACAATGTATAAACCTGTCTTGTCTCACCAGGTAGGAAATATCAGTCCCAGTGTCAGGTGCAACCGTGACTTTACAGCTCACATTTTAACTTCAGCTCTCCATTTAATTGTGAACATCAAAAATAAATGCCCAAACATGCACCAGCAACTTTGTCTTTCAAAAACCGAAATGCGCGTGGACACAAAATAAAAGAATCTAAGTAAAATAAAATCTCATCCCACTCTACCACCTATCCAGCCACCTACATACCCACCTACACACGTCCAATCCTCGTTCTGAATTTTAGCCATGCTTCTCTAAACTGATGTTCTTGTTATTTTCAACATGGGGAAAAAAAACGCCTCTTTAGACACACTTTTTAAAAATTTTGATACAGAATGAGCAAAACGTCCTAAAAACCGGTTTATTTATTAAGAATATTTCTGTAAGCATGTTCATTCTGCATCCATCTGTGTACAGTGCAGTCCATTATTTGTCCCTGTTGATGAAGTGATGCATATGCAGCATTGCAGTATTGTACTGCAGGTCTAAGCCTTTTCTGCTGTCTGCCAAAAGTGCCAAACATGGATGGCTTCCAATCTTTTCTCAGCAGCCCATTTTTCTCCAGTAATCTGTTTGTTTTCTGTTGCACTTCTGCTTTGTTTCTCCATCCCTCTATTCTACCTTCCACTGCTTGAGTCCCGAGGTAGACTTCCTGTTGTCTTTCATTTTGTTCTCTTTTTCCCTTAATCCCCTTTTCATCCTTCTCCGTTTTTCTCTCCTTCTCTTTAATCCTTAAACCCTGAAAAAATCATCATATTTTATTCCCCTATCCTCTGCATCCTTCCTTGATGTTTCCCCCTTTTCTGTCTCACTCACTTCTTTTTTCTCCAACAGATGGAGTGCGACAATTTCATCACCGTCCTTCAGAAAGTTAATGACACATTCATAGTATGTGGGACGAATGCTGGAAGCCCCAGATGCTGGATGCTGGTAAATATCTACAGATAAATTCCTTTGAGTTTCCCTGCCTCTGTTTCTGCTGCCATAAGTGCTTTCTGCAATAAATTGAGCCATCTGTAAAGCAGCTGCAAACAGCATTTATCTATTTCCTCACTTATTTTTTCTGTTCATAAAATGAAGGCTAACAGTTATTTACACTCAAAGAGAATGTTCTTACTTCAATATGATCCTTCACAGATAAATTGAAGTTTACCCAGTGAGTGAAGGGTAAAACAAGTAATGAGACAGATCTCAAGGAGACCTCCGCTTGGCTCCAATATCTTGCACTTTTCCCCTGCAGGTAAATGAGACGGTGCTGACAGACGTCCAAGGCGGTGGGATGATTGCGCCAGCCTCTCACATCTCACCTCCCTTCCCTTCGCAGAAGTCAATCAACTTGCCTGCAGGTAATGAACTCCCAAAAACGAAGCCTCTTTCCATTTCAAAAATTCAGGTATAGATGAAAAGAGAGAAAATATCAAAGATTTTATTTGTAATTTAATATTTGAGGAAGCAATTGCTGCAAAACATCAGACTCTGCAGTACAAGTTCCAAGTCATTTAACAGCTGGTGAAAAATCTGAGTGATTTGGAATATTGGTTCTAAGTTAGGAACACTTACTGAATCCATTTTACACCCAAAATTGTGCCCAAGGAGTTACATTTGCAGGGAACAGAATGAAAACGTGGAAGTAAGATTAGAGGCAGACAAGGGATGGTGTATGTGGAAATGAGGTATATTTTTATGCATGTTCTTTGCATGTCAAGTTCAAGTTTATTTGTATAGCACATTTCAGCAACATGGTAATTCAAAGTGCCTCACCTCACATAAACATCATACAGTAACACATTATGAAACAAGCAATAAACATTACAGTTTGTCAAATGTCATCATTAAAATCATCATGCAAATACATAAAGCATACAGTTAACATATCAGACCAGAAGGATGCAGTGTTATTTCTCTAAGCCATGCTTAAGACCTCCATGCTGCCTTAAAATGATTAAATGACACTATTTTCAAACTAAAATAAGCAGACATGTTATGATGTTGAAGATTACTTTTTACTTTTTGTAAATAGCTTTGGCAGTGCCTTTCCTGACTGAACTTCACTCATTCAGTCTTAGTTTTCCACCACTCATGTACTGTAAAGCGTAAGGGTTTTGCTACCCCTTGCATATTTAGTTTAAAGTAATCTTTGAAATTCACCAACATGTTTCTTTTGACTTGAAATAAAATTAGTGCCTAGCCCATACTTGTGTCTGATGCAGAATCTCTTTCTATTTGTCTGCTTTCTCTGTACATTAAATCTAAATCTAATGTCCATGCATTTGTTTGAGGCATAGAGATGAACAAGATAAATATTATTTGGGGAGTGACTGAGTGTTTTAAAGCAGTAGAAATTAGAAATTAATGAGTAGATCAATTTTCTTTAGCATTTGGTTCTCTAGAAGTGTTTCAATCTATTTCTAAAGCTTCTCCTTGGCACCTGCCTTACTCTGGAGTAAAGCCACCTTCAACTCTTCATATTAACTCGGCCTATTTGTGTCAGGAGCAACAACGTGACACTTATGAATCCTGGGCTGCCAAGAGCAATCTTGCTCTCATAATCATTTTCTATTCATGTCAGGAAGATGACTAAAGGTTTCTTTTCTGTGAAGTCCCTCGAAATATTAAGTGTAAAATGCTTTTGGATGATCATACAGACTCACCATAAAAGTTCTTATGTTGCCTAGTACTGAAAACTTTGATTTCTTATTTAGAATCATAATCAAACTATAGTTTCCTTATTTATTATATTTGGTTATAATTGGAACTTAATCACATAAAAGGTTTATTAATCTTGACTAAAAAATAGATTTGTTATAAAATCCACTGTGGGCTGAGTAACTTGAGTCATTTTGCAATATAAATAGCATTCCTTATTTTAGCAGATGACTAATCCTAACATAAGAACAAATTACTTATTTGACTTTCTTAAGCTACAGTTGAAGACAAGAACTGAAAATCACGACCAGTGTATCTAAATTAAATATTGCGTTCCAGTTGAACACAAAGTTTGTGAATACATGTTCTGGTACAGAGTCTGCATACATACAAGTGCGACTCAATTCATTCTTACCAGAATTCCTTCCTGGTCACTGTGCACAATAATGACTGAATCCTACTGGTTTCTATGATGCATTTGGAGCACATTTGAGGATGATGTGGTAGTAACATGGTACAATATACAAGACAGATTTATTGAGGTAAAAACTGAACAAGTAGAAATCCAATCTTTTTCTTAGAGATTGAATGCAGTTTTATCAGTAGGGCAGCCATGTTTTATGTTGAGGTCAGGGCCAACAGAATAAGTCTAATTTAACAGGTTAAGTCATCAGTCTTGCTCCTGAGAAATTAAAAATTTTGAGTTCAATAAACCCCTTGCAGTTACTAAAGTTGCAATTTACATCACAAAGTTTTTAGAAAATACTGTAGCGTGTTCTGTAGTCATACTATTCCAGTGGCATTTCTATAGTCATCTGTGTCCTTAAGTATTCTGTAGTTAGATTGCTCCAGTGATTTTTCTGTAGTTATACATTTCCTAAATCAGTTCTGTGGTCAGGTGTTCTTGTGGAAATCTATGTTGTCATGGAGAAGAGGTTGTGAAGGGAATTGTGAAAATAACCTACAGTTCGTCTGTACGGCTTAGCAGTGGCTCACAACAGCAACTTAATGAAATGTTCCTACTTAAACCAGAGTTATAAGGTGTAGAGGGATAAAGCGTTACAATAGTTATTCAAAAAACTACCATAACAGACTCTGTATTAAATAGGGCTATGGTAAGTTTTTGAGACATATTTCATTTTATTTTTGCTTCATCCAGGGATGGAAATCCTATCATAAATTTTAAAAAGAAAAACTTAACAGCTTTGCTCCCCAGGTTTTGTAGGGTCCCCAGTTAAGACTTAGATAATGCATACATTAATCTTAGTAAATTCAGTATATTGTTACAGCTCAGCATTGGCAGATCCCCGTACCTGATGTGAAAGGTACGACAACATCTGACCTATTTCTGTAAAGATATTTACTCAGTATTTTTCAAATCTAGCTTAGATTTATTTTTAATGTAAAGACAGTTTCATATACAAGGCTGGATTTACTTGCATCTGCAAATTAGACAAGACAAAGCTTTACAACACAAAAAAATAAGAGTCTTCAAATGAAACCCTTGACTGTGTAGGTATTAAGTCTTGCATAACTTTGCCTAAATAGGGCTGTACTAATTAAACTGACCTTCAGTAGTCATTGTGCATGAAGAGGGACTTGGAAATTGTGTGTTTCTTCAACCATCTAATGCAGATGGGCTGTTTGAAGAGGCACTTAAATCAGCGAGGGTTTGGGCTGTGCTGCGGGATGCTCCTCCACATGGGGGGGTTGATTGTGGATGCAATGAGTCGACCCCATTCCTTGGGCTCAGTGGCATCTACATACTGATAAGTCCTGATTATGTTACTGCCATGATTTCAAATGCTTCCCCCTCTGCATTGCTATGGAGACACAGCTCTGCATTGGATTGTAACAATGTGGACATTTGTAGCTCATGGAAGCAAAGGCTGCTCTGCTTTATAACGTTGTCTTTACTTTGCTCTTGGCTCCGTATTCTCTGCCCTGCTTTTTTATATTCTGTCTTTGTCTTCCAGGCCCTACTTTTGTTCCTCTAAACTCTGTATTTAATGTTCTCTCCTCTTTGTCTTCTCCATTTTTCGCCGTAGTCAATTCTCTTCTGTCACTCCAGGCGCCCCTCTCCTCCATTTCAACCTTGTACTGATTTGTCAAGTGTGCCCTGTTTTTATTACCTGCCACTCACCATTTCTTCTCCTGTGCATCTTTTGTTTTTCCTGCCTGTCTCAGATGGGAGTCTGTACTCGGCCATGTCATCAGTGGGAGGTCACGTCGGCTCGATTCGTCGTACATTTGGCTCCCAGAAACTCCTGAAGACAGAAAATATTTGGCTGCTGAGTGAGTAGGTGGGGGGGAGTCACGCGGAAGGTATACACGCTTAGATAATTGCATATGGAGATGGTGGGTGGTTCTCTCTGTAAATCATCTACTATCGTTCCCATAGGGACAAAACCATGTAGGTGTATTCACGACTGCTGTCAAACTGTCTTTCCACTCAGATCCTCCTGGAGAATCTGACATGGTTCTTTTTTAAGATAGGAAATATCTCCACAAAAGTTGAAGTAATGCTTTAAGTTTAAACGTTGATGTGTTTGATCTCTGTGGATATATTTAAATCTCACCTGTAGGTCCTCAGTTTGCTGGAGCATCCATAATCCCTGCCTCGGAAAAGTACAAAGAGGAGATCTATTTCTTCTTCACGGAGTTCAACAAGACAGCCCGAGTGGATGAGGAGCCATACAGGGCCCGCATAGGTCGAATCTGCACGGTAAAGAGTCTGCAACCAGTTTTTACCAAATACAATGTCTATATAAACAAAAAATTCAACATTTTCTGTGTCAGGTAAGCTAGAATTACCAAAATGTATATTTGCCAAACATCAGCCTAACATATAGCATATAGAAACATCTAAATTCATGTGTCTATGCTTTTGAAAACATTTGGCAGCATCAGTGGCTTCAAATCCTATTGGGAATCTTCCCACTCTTCCATTTTTAGTCCTCTTCACTGATGTTCACACTCTAGCTGGGTCACAGATGAGATCTACAGAAGCCAGTTGTGTCCTTTATTGGTGGCACACTCATGGTTGATTGAGAAAATGTAAACCTTCACTCTGACTTGAAGAAACACTCCCTCATCCCCAGTAACAATTAAAAAAAATCTTATTTTAACAGTGTCTCATACATTACCAACATAATTTTATTTCATCCAACATAAAACTTAAAATCAAGGTGACCAATGTGTTTCTCTTCTAACCTTGCAAATATATTACCAATAAAGAAGTATTGAAAACTCCAGGACTGTACAGTGTGACAAATATGTTGTATTTGCAATGAAAAAAAACTCTGATGAATTACTGTGCTGATATTGCAAATGTCTGATAACATTGTAACCAAAGTCCGTTGTCTGGAGCAGAGAGTTTAGGTGACAGATGGGAGCTGAATCATTTAGGATTAAAATCAGATAAACATGTCTCTGTAGTTCTATGGGCTGCATTTCTTCACACCATGTAACTTTGTGCATCATATTCAAAATATGAAAATTTATCAATTTTTACGTAATAGAAGTTTTATTAAATGGCTCCTTAAGGCTGCTGAATATCCAGGTAGTTTTTAAAGAGGGCTAGAAGGGGCTAAGTGTTGATCTTAGGGTATCACGCTAACATAAACGTAATACGTTAAGCGCATACATAATCCAGACTAATTGAAGCTGTTGTCTTTTCTTAAGTGTTCATTAAAAATATTATCCACATAAGACTTTCTCATCAGAGGGTATTAGTGGGATGACCCAATCTGAGGTGGTTGATTTTCATGCCTTACAACACTGTAAAACTTACAACACTGTATTTGTGGTAATGTCATCCATGCAAGAAATAAAATGTTCTCCTTCCTGAGGGCTCAATTAGTAATGTAAGCAACTTAACAACTCAGTTATTCTCCAGTACAGTGCATACTGAATACCAGAGGTATGAACACTATTGATTACGGCTCCTCAACAACTAAAACAATTATTATAAATAACATTTCAAATGATAAAGTCGTATTTGGAGTCAGAACAGACCCAAATTCAGAGAAAAACTGTGGTGTAGCATTTAAAATAGACTTTGTTAGTAGGTTTGAATGTTGTTCTTGTATGGAGGTATAAATATTCATTTAAATAAGCAATAATGTGGGAAAACCTTTCTGAATGAAGTGTTTTGACTAAAATTAACATCAGTAAGAAAAAAAAAACATTGCAGGTTGTTAGCTCTATTTCTGAACCACTTTACTTGTTTTGATGAATAATTAGACAAAAGATACAAAATTGAAGATGCAGTGGATCTCCAGGTGTGAACTATGCTACATTTCCTATAAAATTATTTTAATGTTTTACTATTCCTCAGAAGACTGAATCTGTCATTGCAGAGTGAAAAAGTGCTGCCGCTTTGCTTGGAGGATGCTTTTAATCAAACGTTGCAATCAGCAGCATCAAATCAGGTGTTTTTCTAATTAGCTCTCAAAGGCGAAACACCTGCAGCTCTGTGTGAGCCATGCCTCATCCTCTAAATTCAAATCAAGAACTTAAATGTAATGGGGAAATGTTGAAGAGGTATATTTTCATGTTTACTGATCAATAACGAGTCTCAGCTCTTAATGAAATGTCTTAATTTCTTAAGTGATTTTTTTTTAGTTAGTTAGTTAGCATTTATTGTCTTTGTTTCTGGGAGGAACATGAATGAGTCCACCTGTTCTAGCTCTGGAGTGTCTCTAAGCAAAAGGGAAAATATATTTAAGGTTCAACAGTTTCCTTCAAACTGCAAAACCGCTGATATGACTGAGATCAGTCCGGAGGGAAAACATGAAACAGGTTTTCTCCTTTTTCACAAAGTCACTGAAAAAGAATGTGCAATTTATACATCTGAGTAGAAACTGTCATTATTATTTCAGAGACTGCTTATTGCGATAAAAAGTATAACTGCATATTTAATCACTGAGCTCTAAATGAAGTCAGTAGATAATTAATATCTTGGACTTAATAACCAAAGCTTTCTAAAATAAATAGTCAACTAATTCTTCTCAGAGGGAAATGAGGTTCTGCTGCTCTGTGTTGTGGGTCAGAACTATGTCACGGGCAATAAACACAAAGCGATTAGAAACACAATCAGCCTGCAGACCTGGCTGCCCCTTTGTGTCATTGTTAATAAGATCCCCTCTGTGTTTTTTCCAGGTGGATGAAGGGGGCATCAAAGCCCTCCTGCCAGACTCTTGGACCACCTTTATGAAGGCTCGGGTGATGTGTGGTGCAGGCAACACACAGCAGCAGTACAACAACATGAAGCAGGCTGTGGTCCTGACAGCTCAGGACAAGAGGGCTGGGGTCATGTATGGCCTTTTTTCCAACGCATGGTAGGTGCAAACATGGCAACCTTTTAATTCTACCCAATTCTACGGATTGGCTCTGTAAGAATGCTAAACACATGTACGATTTTGGAATACTGCTTCTTAGGACATATTAAACTAATTGGAAGTGAGTGAATCCCCCAGCATAATGCTCATTGGATTGAAGATTTAATGTTGGAGTTGGATCTGGAAAAAATAAGATGTATAGTGAGTGGGTAGCAAGATGAATTTAGTAAGACCTGGTCAAAATTAATTATTTATGCTAAGGGCATATCAGTTATTTGTAGCTTACTGTGAGGTTTGTTTGATTATTTTCAGTTTTTTTTTTTTATGTGGAGATTGAGATGATTCAGTTTTGTTTTTTTTTTTAATTGTATGAATTAAACTCTATTTTAAACAAATAAATGATAAAGAAACTTATATAAAATAGAACATGTTAAACCATTCAGCCAACTTTGTGATGACTGATGTTTTATAATTTACTGAATCTGATTGTTTAAAGCTAAGCATTTAAAATTAATTTATACCTGACTGTATTGGACTGAGCTCTAACTGATGAATGAGAATGAATTAGAGGCTGATGGGAAAAAAAAAAAAGAAAAAAAAAGGTTTGTACTAAACCTTTCACTTTTTTCACAAAGAGCATTGAAATAACCTTGATTCTCCATTTATGCTGTACGAGTAAAATCAACTCAATTATCTTGAGCTCAATAGTCATCATAGCCGTGGTGTTCAGAGACAAATCTTTAATAAAAAAAATAGATGATTATGCTTTGCTTTTACCTTATTACAACCACAGAGTTTAAAATAATTTGAGATGTTATGTAGTAAGTCAACACAAAGTTCAGTTCAAAATTTTCTTTACATATATAAATTAAAACATGTGAGCTGCATTTGATTGCAGCCCCCTTTACTCTGATACTTCTAAATGAAATCAAATGCAATCAACTCTAAGAAGTAAATTCCACTTGTATGGTTTAGTCAAAGCAGCCGTCTACCAGTAATTTCTACTTCCCTCTGTTGACAAGCCTTGTGGAGATGCAAATTACTTTTGGCAGCAGGACTTGTCACCTGCCCACGCTGCTAAACGCACCAATACTTGCTTTAAAAGCCATGGCCAGAAATTAGTCTGACCTGAATCTCATAGAGAATCTGTGGAGTGTTGTCAAGAAGACGACAGGAGGCACCAGAGCCAACAATGCAGAGAAGCTGAGGGCCGCCATTGAAGCAGTCTGGACTTCCTTAACCCCTTCAGTGCAGAGCCACCTCTGCATTGAAGCAGTCCTTCATACTGCAAATTCAGTTTCACTTTTTGAATTGAATTACTGACAGAAATGTAGTTTTCAATTATGTTTTATTTAATAAGATGCACTTTTAGGAAACAAAAGAAGATATTTCATATATCAAAAAGGAAGGAGTAAATGAGCATGAGCAGTGGCTAATCCTCGGTGCACCACATACTAATCTAATTTGCATAGACATTAAAAAGATGTAAAATATTAGGGTAACAAAAAAATGCTTCTAATTTCTTGTTTCAAGGTGAAAGGTTGAATAAATAAGTTTCCCACATGACAACTTAAATACCTTTTCGAGGATTAATTAACTTTTTCCTCCATTGTAGGGGAAGAACGGTGGTCTGTGCCTATTCCATCGAAGATATTGATCGAGCCTTCTCTAATTCTAAACTGAAAGGCTACAGCAGCTCATTCAGTGGCAGTCGACCAGGGATGGTAAGAAAATTTGCCTTTTTGTTCCCTTTATTTGTCACAGTGCAGAGACAATATGTGTAAAAGCATGAATCAGTCTGTAATTTAGTGACTAACATGCTATTTTAAAAAAGGTAATAAGGGAGAAGCAATTTTATGCTCTTTATCCAAGCCATGTTTTGCTTTTTGTACAATCCAGTCTGATGTAAATCCATTATTCTGCCTTTCTCTTCAGTGTGAACGTAAAGGTCCATCAGCAGACACTCAGAACAACATCAAAAACCTTGGCGTGATCAGATACTACCCTGAAATAGAGGATGTAATTCGGCCGGTTGGTGTGAATCCACTCGACCTCCCCACAGATGATCAAATCACCCACGCTGTCGCGGATATTGTCCTGGCAGTCAATGATGAGCATTACACTGTCCTGTACCTCGGAACAGGTACGTGTGCACATCTGTGTGTCAAAATGATGAGAGTGGCTACATGTGTAACATTTTGTTTAGAGAGTCATGTTTACACCATAAAATTTCAAAATTTGACTGTTTTAACTTATTTTATACCTGCTCTTTCTGTAAAATTGCTTGTTCTGAACCCAGTTCTTTAATTTCCTCTCAGTTCTGATGGATTGGCGAATGAATAAACTGCCACTGAAAGAGGAGATCACTGTTACTCACCATTGGTGCAGCGTTACAGTGTCAAGAATTCAATTTTTGTAACAGTTTTTTTTTTTAAACAAACAGTTTTAGAAAATCTTACTTCATTTAGTTTAGAGGAGAATTTATGGGAAGTTTATTTTAGTATCCATTTACCTCAGGTTAAGGAGGTGGCAGTGTTTGTGAGCTACAGGGAACTAAACTCATGTTGACACTATTCATCATTATTGTCATCATCAGCTTTATTAAAGACACAAATAGGTCCATAGGAAAATAATAATAATAATAATAATAATAATGATAATAATAATAAACAATCACATTGATCAAGTAGTTTTCATATCAGATGAATTTGACTAAGAAAAGCATGTAAATTCTTGGTTAGTGATGTCCTTTCACCATCCTGTGTTCCATGTCTCTCTGGTAACTATGGGCAGCCTTAGTTACCATCATGTATTTTACTGCTTTTGCATCAGAGGAGAATTACACCACAGCATCAGGATACATGGTATACAGCAGATTCACCACTTTTAGCTGCCAAGCACCCGTAATAATTGCAGTAGGATTCAGAGATGTTTCTATAGAGATGCTAAAAACCAAAAACACAGCATTCTCTTACATGCTGATAATGTAGAATGTGTACTTTAATTGATCCTGATGTTATTAGCTTTAATTGTTTTACGTGCATCAGTTTTAAACTCTTGCCTCTATTTCATAGCAGAGCAAATCTTTTGAGTCCTTGATTGATCAACTAGCTGGCGTCCAGAGCTATAGGCCATCCATGTCTTTTAATGTAAAAAGTTATTGATTTTCCACACATCACTGGACATTCAGAGGTTTTTACTGGATCTAAGGGTGCATTCACACCAGCCCTGTTTTGTCTGCTTTAATCAAACTTTGTTTTGTTTGCCTAGAGAGTCCAGTTCATTTGGGGAGGTGTGAATATATAATTTAACTCTGACAGAGACCAAAAAAAGCTTTGATTCACCTACAACCCTTGCTCTCAGTTCAGTTCAACTGAACATTAGTGCGGTTCAAAAGCATATGAATACAACCAAAACAAAAAGTCTAGTGCCAGCAGGTTAAATGGCTCATTGCCATTTTACAAAGACAACAGAAAAATCTTACAACTACTAATATTTAACACTACTTCATATTTGTTTACTTTTTGTGAAGAAGCAATTTGCGGTTTTGTGTTTTCTTCAAATGTTTTTGTGTTGTCTGCTTCAGCGGGTCTTGGTGCAGCGCCACCACAGGTGAGGAGGTAAACAGGTTACTTAAAGCTATTGGTTTGTTTGACATAGTGCAGTGTGGAAGTAAACTGCACCATTTGAAATTGTAACAAATGTTGCCCTTTTGTTCTCCAGTTGAACCAGATTATCAGGTGTGACAACAACCTTAGTGTGTGATGACAGAGGAAGAGAGATAACGTACGAAGGACTGAGCAGAACTAGAGATGTGAAAAAATACTGATTGCACTACATAATTACTGAGCTAAAACTGCAGACATTTCAAAAAAGAATTGTTTGAAAATTGTCAAAATTGTGTCCACATACATTCTAAGAGTTACCATCTGTCACCTCCCTTCAGTCAAAGCAGTGACTCTGAGGCACAGCTGTTGCTTGTAGCAGTTCATCTAAAAATTGTGTTGCCTTCAAGAGCATTGCTATGGCAACCATCACAACTTGTATCCTCATGCTCTGTATGTTCTGAATGTGTCACAACTCTGAAGTTCACCAAAAAGATGTTTGTCGCTTCTCTCATTACTACAGTGGCTGTGTTCCTGTCATTCATCAGGCCTTTCTGGGTTGGGTGTATTTTTAGCAGACAGAAACGAATGTAAAGTTAAAAAAAAAGAAAAGGTTGATGGCCGCTCACTGTGGGCTTTACTAACTGTGTCAGTTATAGCTGTGGAAAGGGACAGTAATGAACAGCTGTGGATTTCTATGCTGGCCTAAAAAGAAAGTAGAACAGTTTGATTCGCTCTTCAAACTGAGGCCAGGGAAAACATTGCATAGAAATTTACTTTTTAATTTTGTTGATTTCATTTTCTGCACCCATAGATGCAGGCCTTGTCATTTGTGGATTTGTGGTTTGCCATAAAAGGTTTTCATTTTAAACACTTTTGATGTTACCTTGCCGTCACTCAGAGTGCAGGGTGTGAATATTCATCATGCACCAAGTGAAGCTCATCAGTCATCATAATTACTTTCAAAGAGCCTTTTATATTTGTGCAAATCATGGAGAGAAGTTACCTCTATGAAATTATTCAGCGTCAAATAAGGGAAACAGGATTAGTTTCAAAAAGTCAAAGCCAATCAAATGAGCAGCTGTGGGTTTGCATTGAGTCCAGCGGCGATAAAAAGGACATTTTGGCAGACTGGGGTTATAACTCCTCACCACTGAGGGAGAGTCCAGTAAATATGTTTCATAAACATGAAAAAGGCTGAAAAATTAGGTTTTGCAAAAGCTAATTGTAAGATGTTCGTCCATAAAGCAAACGTCACTGAGTGCTCAAGCTATAACTGTAGTAATACTGGCTTACAAAGTGAAACAAGACAACCGCATACAGTTTAAACCAGAAGCATGCATGCACTGTATAAACGAACACACGTTTTTTCACTGTCAGATATTAAATCAGACTAACCTTCCCATGTTGTAGGTCAGTTAGAGTTGCCAAAATTATTTCTGTTTCCTAAATGCCTGAAAAATAAAACTAAAACTGAACTCAGTTTTAGTTTATTCACATTAATAATTTTCAAAGTCAAACAAAACAAAATGAAGAGAAAACATTGCAAGAAATTTGTCAATGTGTAACAAAGTGAAAATGCAACTTTGACAATATCGGTAAAAAGATTTATATCAGAATGGTGTGTTTTTTATGATTTGAGGTTTGTTATCTACTTTTTGCTTTAGAAAGCAGGAGAAAAGAGAAAGCAGAAAACAAATTACTCAAGTTTAATGTCACTGAGAAGAAACTTCTGGTTTTAACTGTAAATCTGTCTTAAGTTGCATAACAGATACCTTGATATATATCAGATATGAAGCGTCTATTGGGTGGGGACCACAGAATATGGTTAAATATGTATGTTTTAAATTGGATCTTGAAAACAGATTACATTTGATACTTTGAAAATAAGTTTCCAAAGCTATTTTCAAACTAACTGCCATAAAGTAGAAAAAAAAAAAAACCCTTTATTCAGTTTTCACCCATTTAGTAATGCAGCTAGGTACAAATCTTGTTTATAACCAGAAAGTCTCCTGGGTTTGGAAGCTAAAATAAATCATTTAAGAACACTGCCTTTGGACAAACTAATAAAGTGTCGCCATGCTCCTAATAAGTAAAAGCACATTTTACTGTGATTTAAACAACTTGCACTGGTCCCGCTGGGATACAGTGAACCAAGCCAGCAGGGTGAAGCAGTATTTGACTAAATTAATTTCTTCAGCTTTTGATCACGACCCAGGAAACATTTAAAAGGATTAAATTGATTTTTAAAATGCCAGTTCATGTTTTTTTTGTTTGTTTTTTTATCTGTAGCCACCAAAACAAAACAAGGACATATTGTTTTTTCCTTGAACAATGCTGTGAAAGGTAAATAATTGGTGCAAAGGCTTTACTTTTCCACATAAAGTTAACTTGATTCAATTTAAACCACGATGGAATGAGATTGGAATTAAAATTATTAGTATCTTGTTACAGATACTAATTTCATTGAAGCTACATTTTATCACGGGTATCATAAAGAGGTGAGCCACAGAACTTTACCGCAGGGCTCACGGGCATCTGTGCATTCATGAAAAATAAATGTATAAAATTGATGCGATTCCACAGGGATTTGTGTGGAAGCTCGGAAACACACTCAAGTGATGCCTCTTAAACGTTGAGGGCAATCTGAAAACAAAATCACAGGGGTGGATGTGAGGAAATATTCACATGAGACCTCTGCCAAACTCTAAGTGTCTACTTGTCTATTATAACTAAGGGAAAACATGGATTTAAAAAAGTAGCATTAGTTTAGAGATTCACTTGCTCCGTGGTATGGCAATGCAGTAGGATGGAAAGCTCACAGATAATCTTTTTTTAGAAGAAGCTCTTAGAGCTTTTGCTGCACTTCAGGCTGAGCAAAAGAGAAGCACAAATGGATTCCTAAAAGCAATACAGAAGAACCTTTCAGAAGGACTAAAGCCAGACAAATTAGCCTGCTTTTATTTAACTTACATTTTCTTCAGTATGCAATCTTGATTTTTGAAAAAATATCTGTTTTGTAAAACCAGTTGAACTAAAATTGTAATTTAGAGATGCAACAATCAGAGATTTTGTGACTGGTTTCTGACTCCGTCAGGCTGGTCTCAGTTTTAGCCAGTTATTCTCTGTCTTTCCGGAAACAAAAGAATCACAGCATATTAACTTTACAGAATATATTGTTTTTACATATTACAGGTTTCAAATGTGGCATAGCCTAAGCACTTCCCCTGCTAATACAAATAAGTATTTTCTACTGTCAGATGTATTAAATTACTAATGCAATTAATTTAACTCTGTAAGGATACATACCTTTTGTGATCAACCTTTAATTATTCCCATAAAAAGCAGGAGCTACACTGTAGTTCATCATTACTTTATAAAACAAACATTTTGGTTCACAATCACAAGCTAAAACATAATTGAGCAAACTGGACTCAGTCTAAAATGACCATGTACAAATTTACCATTTTTCATATTCTTTATCTTAATTCAATGAGGGTATAAATGAAATGTTATGCAAACAATTTTGGCAGCGGATTTGTTTTGAAATTAAAGTGAGATTTTTTTTCTCTGAAAATTGACTTTATTTAGGTTTCCTGTAAAAAACTTGAAGATGAGATAAAACTTACTTTTCTGTTTTTATTTTAATAATGTTTCTTTGCAAGACAAGTTATAGCATGCAATCGTTTTATACCCACTAAAAACTAGAAGTTCATCATATTATCATTGTACCTTTTTATCACATGATCTATTTAAAATAATCAGCTTTCACAACATTTCCTGCTTCACCATATTCTGTGACACAGAATCAGATTCTTCCAAATTACACTAGCTTTATTAAAGGGAATGGAAAGAACTGCATCAAATATGCATAAGAGCAGCAATACTGTAGTTCGATGGCTGAAAGATGCAGTTTTTATTTCAGCTAAAAAGTTCCTTAGCTGAAATAAAAATAGTAGACCTGTAAAAGCCTGCAGAGTAACTGAAGCAGTCAATATATCCATCAGTAGACTGTTAGAGGTGAAAAAAGGATCCATACTAAAAAGATTCATTTTACCTGAGTAAGTCAGTGACAGATTGTCCACCACAGGCACAAAGTGGTTTTGAGTGTTTTGGCCATGGAGGTTATACAGAAGCTTTCCTCAGGGCTGAAGAAATGTCAGAGATATATATCTGTTTCAGCCTGACTTCATGTTACAGATTAGAAGTTATACTCCTTTATTTGCTGCTGTGCTTGGAAAGTCACACAGCAGAGGCCCATCTGGTTTATCAAAATTTCAGTCGGGACAGAAAATCAAAGTTGAGAGAAGTAAAACAGATTATTTACGTAAAATAAGGGGATGTTTGAGTCAAAGCTATGAAAAAGCTTCCCTAGCTTCTTGTCTTCAACTAATTAAAAATAAACTTGTGTAATTGTGGAGATTTAAAGGTGTGAAGCTTTTTACCTTTAAACAAATGTCCCCTCAGCAGTTTCTGCCTGGATAAATATAGCTAAAAACAGATTTACCAAGCAGATGTCACAGGAGTTCAGTAACGTCACCCTTTCCCCTTCAGCTGTTTCTTTTTGTGCTGATATGCTGGTTTGATAAAAGAGCTGAAAATAGCTGCAGACTGGATTAAAGAATCATGAGAATAAACAGAAAAGAATTGAGAAAGTTATCTTTGACAACACGGAAGAATTTGAAGTCCATGAAAACAAAAGAGACAAAAGAAAACCAAGTGACAGCAAGAACCTGATTGTCTGATTATAAATGAGAAAGTGCCTGACAGGCAGAGTATTCAGGAAATGAAAATGTACAATAAAAAGCATCACTCCAATTTTAGAGTGGAGAAGGTAAAACAATATTTTATGTGACAAAAGACCAAAAAATAAAAACAATCTGGGACTCATTTTTACATCAAACTGACAGGTTATCTGGAGAAGAAGAAGAAGTTGTTTGTAGACAATAAAAACGAGCATTGTTAAGAAGCGAGAAGAAAAATGAACTATTAGAAATAAAACCCTGCAGGGAAATAGCAGCCGACGGTGGCAAGACTGAGATACTGTAAACAGTGTAAGCTGTGGCTGCTCAGATGGTAGGGGCACAGCCTGTTGGGCAAAAAAGTGATGGCTCATAGCTGAAAATAATGACTCATCATCTTTCAAACTGAGAGTGCATGCACTATTGACTAACGGAGTAAAGCTGTACAGTCATGTCTGGAATTTCAGCTGCATCTTTTTATCTGTTGGAACTGTGTGCACTTTTATCCATAGAACAGACAAAACAATTTTTCCGTTTAAATTACAAAGCTTCATACAATCCTTTGTCACTGGGCTGCATAATTTGTGAAGTGTTAAAAATCAATTCTTGTTGCTGACAACAAAAACACAAATGGACACAAATGGTGAAAGTGGCCAATAGAAACAATTCAATCATTTAACCTAGCAACATGAATACATTTCATTAAGTCAGAGGTTTATCTTGCTTTTCCCCCCAGCCTGCTGCGCATTAGAGCAGAACTTTGAATCCAGACAGCAGACCAATAAATGAGTTTCTTGGTAATCAGCTCCCTTGTCACTCTGTTAGAGCAGTGACATGCTGCTCCACCAGCGTATTTACATATTTAAAAGATGCATTGACTTGAACAGCCATGGGACAAAAGAAACTTTCAGTGAGTGTCACTTTGTTCTTGGAAAAACTAAGCTGATCAGTCTGTGAAATGGCTTATAATTTGCAATAATTTAATTCAGCTGTTTTCTGCATAACTTTAAAAGTCTTTTAAATTGCCATTGGGGAAATTTGGTCATCTGTTTAAAAATCCTTTAAAGTTTACTGAAGACACTAGTTGTTCCAAGTTCGAGTTTGAACTGTTGAACAAATGACTTCTGATTTGACTTTAGAATACTTTTGGATAAAGAAGAGTTTCTTGTGATGGTCTCAATAACTGTAATGTCTTCAGGTCCTGTGGCTGCAGAGCATTTCACATTTCTGTGCTAATGATTTTTATGAAGTATTTGTGTTGAAATGTTGTGCTTTTGTCTTTCCTCTGATCATGGCCCTCTGCATAGAGGATGAATATGTTTGGTTTAGTCTTGCCTATCTAAAAGAACATTATTTCTGACATGCAACATGTGATCCGTGGGATATATGATGTGCGTGTGTGTGTGTGTGTGTGTGTGTGTGTGTGTGTGTGTGTGTGTGACCTTCAGGTGACATTGCTGGCACATTTACACTGATAATCCTAACTACTAAATCAGAGTCGTTTGCTTAACTATTTTGAATCGCAGACTTCAAGTTGTTTGTAAATGTTCTTTAATGATGTTCCAGATTAATGGAAAGCCTTAGTTGCTCATTTATTAAATCTTCATTTTATGGTTAAAGCTTTTCTATCAGATCATTGCTGGTGCCTTTCTTCCTTGTAAAACATATATTTTATCTTGTATCCATCCTGCAGAACATGTTTCTCTGTGATCGTATTGGAAACTGTAGAACTTTCTTTTTCTTATCACTGTATGGTATAATTAATGAAATAGGCAATTAATCTGAGCGCATTGTTTTCTATTATCTACAAGGATGCCATGCTTTAAACTGGAATAACATCGCCACACTGAAATGAGCATGAATTAATTAACACTTCAAATAGAAAACACAGATGAAAGAATGAGAATGTAACTTCAAATATTATGGTGATAGCGATGGGAACTGTCAGGTTTGGTTTTTAGGAAACAGCAGAGTTCGCTGTGCTGGTTCCCCCAATTAGACATTTTTTTTTATTTAACATTGGGCATTTTTATTTTTATGATTACATGTTGTCACAATTTTCACTATTAAATCCTCTTACAATTTCCTGCTTTGTTGCCACCTATGATTTACAGACATTTTGCTGACTTTGTGCCGTTGAGCTGATAGTGTGTTTGAAAACAGTCACATGTTGCTTCTGGATTATTCTTCTTTTATCTTAAATAGGTAATGTAGAGGTCTCAGCACTTACAATCCCAGTGAAGGCAGTAAACGTCTAACCAAGAATAAACTTTTCATGAGCTACCAGAAACAGTCATTTACATCTGCCCCACCAAAATATATTAGACCAAAATTAATTCACATCAACAGTGTTTTTATATATACACACAAAAATTGACCCCAAAAATAGCAGAAGGAAAAAATGAATACATAAAAAGTCAACTTTTTACTTGTTTGAAATGAAAACGTTATCTGACACATGCACATTAATGTTAATTTATGCGTTACTCAGCCTTTTAAATTGGAATTACCAGTTGCAAATCCTTCAAATTGCATAATAATGACTGCCACTTAAGCTAAGTAAAGAAAAGTAAAATCCATCAAATTTTAAAGTTTGAGTGGCACCAAAGGGTTTTCTTTTGATGTGATTAAAAAACGTCACATCTAACCTCCTCAATCTGTGTCAAGTGTGTTCTCCTTCATTATTTCTGCAGATCAAGGCAAAGTTCTCAAGGTTCTTCACACCATCCAGGATGTCTTCATCATATCTCAGTATTCTCTGTTCCACAACGAAGGGCCTGTTCTAAATATGGCCATCGACTCACAAAAGGTACAAGTGATGCTTCTATAAAACATGGTAAAGGCTTATTTAGGTGAATTTATGCTTTTAATCGTTAATGATACTCTATGTCTTTAAAAAAAAAAGGAACAGCTGCAGAAACCTCTTTAAAAAACATAGCATAGAAAATCTTTTCTATATCAGTGTCTCCTTCATGTGACCCTATTCTGTCAGTGAAAAGGGAGAAATTCAGCTTTCCCTTTTACCACTGATAAAGCTTAAACATTCACATATTCATAATTTATTGATTGAATACGACAGTTAAATGAGAGAGATGTGATATACTCACAACAAGAAAACTGAATGAATATTCTGCATTTGGTGTATAAATTCAAAGCTTGTGTTTAGAAGATGCAATTGCTTACAGTCAGGATCAAACAAAGTGGCTACATAAAAACTTTAAAATCTTATTTATTGACATTCCTCATGAAAATGTGTAAAAAGCTTTACAATAAATTCATGTTTTGCTACAGTAGCATCACATTGGTGTCTAGCTCCAGTCTTCATGGGCCGATGTCCGGATAGTTTTAAATGCTCCAAAACAGCTGATTCAAATGATCCGTTTATCTCCTTCAGTATGTCACAGCTTACAGAGGCTCGTTAATGAACCATCGTTTGATTGAGGTTTATGAACCAGGGAAAGAACTATAACATGGAGAATGCTGGGCCTTGAGTCCTGAGTTTGGACACCACTGATCTAGCACAACAAAAATTAGTGGCATTCAGTGATATATGAATACTAAATCGCTGACTCTTTTTCTCTCTAGGGTCACTTGTATGTCGGTACTGCCATGGAAGTCCAGCGTCTGCCGTTGGCTGACTGCAGGCGCTATGGCCACACATGCAGAGAGTGCATCCTTTCCAGGGATCCATACTGTGGCTGGGACAAGGCCAGGAGGAAGTGCATCGCCATCCCGCCCGGATACAACGTCACAACTGGGTAAGTTTAGATATGATGTCATCACTGCAGCACTATTGGCTCATTGAATTACAATCAAAAGATAAAAGATACTTCATCAGCTAAGTTTCTTTAATGCCTTTCAACACTCTCAGGGGAAATGTCTCTATGGTCTGTGTGATAATCTCTTGCTAATTTCAAAGCTAGTGTTTAAAACTAGCTTCAAATACCAAGACAGATAAAAAAGTTAAAGAATGAGATTCTCAAATTTAAAGCCATGTTACGTTTTGACTGTTAAGTTTTTCCCTGCCGTATTTCCGATATAAAAACAATAGCAACAACCTAGCCTATGAATAATTTCTCTTTTTTCCCTCTATTTTTGCTGTTATAGCTCTGCTTATGTTAATTTATGAGTAATGCCAGCTTTATGAAAAAAAGAGACTCATTAGCCCCTTTGTGAAATAATTGTCTGCTCCTAATTCTGTCTCTTTCTCATTTTTTTCTTCACAGAACTCTTATTCAGAATCTCGATAGTTCCAACTCCTCCATTTGTGAGGAAGCTGCTGGTGAGCTCTTATCTACACTCTCTCACTCTCTCCCCGTCTTAATTAAACCAAAGTGGTAGCGTTTCTGTGCAACTACAGCAAAAACAAAAGATGACTATCATATAATTGAGCAGTGTCCAAATTCCCCAAAGGGACAGTATCTTTCTATTTCACGACTTGCCCTGTCTCAAATCTCATACCCCAATGCAATCTTGACTATGCATAGCAACTGGAGGCACTTAGTTAATCTGATGTTTAACATTGCATCTGCATCTGTTTCAAGTTGTATCACTGGTTCCGGTTCCTGAAAACCAATATAGTTTAGTCTTATTCAATTCAAAGAAAGAACACTTTGTTTATCCCAAAGAAAACTTAAATGTTGTCTTAACTCAGATCATCCAGGAATTGTCAGAGTCGTTGCAGATGATGATGTCGTGGGCAGAAAGGATCTCCGGTAGCGGTCAGTCCTGCAACTTAGCTAGCATGTACGACAGTGTCATGACTCCCAAACATGACCATAAACCCTACTCATTTTCTAAATAATTCACAGTAGCATGGGTATTGTTAGGTTTATTTTAGCAGAGCTGAAGACCCACTAAAATGTTCCATTGACTCGAGTAATTTTATTCCTGCATGAAATCAGTAACCTACAGATATGCATTCTATATTCAAGGGGGGTATTATGTAAAATATGTTTTTTTTCTTTATGTTATTCCCTCATCAAAAACATACCTCGAGTGTTGCTTTTGATACTTTGATGCATGTTTGAGTAATTCTTGAATCTCCTGTGGCAGACATTTAGAGTTCATAAAAAGCTTGCTCGTATAATGCGGCAACTATTTCCATAAAGCCACAGTCTCCAAATCCAGCTTTTGCCTCACCGACCATCCCTCACAAACTACTCAGCTCCTCCATACTAGCAGCAGCAACATTTAACAAACACATGGTGGAACTGCGTGTCTGCTGAACTGGTCGTACAAACTATTTCTTAGTCCGACGCGCCTAAAAATGACTGTCAATGGCATAATGGAGAAACATTGTTGTGATGATATGCTGAAGGTGTCGTGCCGGAAGGAGCTGGAGCTTCTTAAAGTTTTTGTGGTCATTTCCCCTCTGCTACTACATTGAAAGGGAGGAATTATGAAACAGGTGGAAGCAACATGTTCTTTAGCAAACAATATCAATCGTTAGGTCCTAGAACTTCAGAAATTGGAAATCAAACATTTGGACAGATGTGATGTAGTTAAATGAAACAAATTGATTATCATGTCCTACATATCAAAAACATAAAGTGTGAAAGAAATCTTGGTGATGCCATCCCCTGCAGGAGGAAGGGGAAAACCCTGGATCAAAGCCTGTCAAGGGCTGCAAAAGACTTGAGACTTGAGCAGCAGGACAATGACTAACACACTGTCAGTCTGGAATTGCAATTGCTGTAATTACTGTGAAAGGTGGTTTCACAGTAATTTCACAGTGACAGGGTGGCATGAAATAAAAAAAAAAACATATCTCACATTTCAGATTCTTTCTTTTTTTTCTTTTTTTGTCAACTTAAATGTTTAAATCAGACATTTTAATACTAAAAACAACCAGATGGATTACAATAAGTAGTTTTCAAATGATGTCTCACTTATTTAAAGAAAGAGCTGTTTAATCTAATATGGGTCTATTTGAAAAAGTTATTGCCCCCCTAAAGCTAAAATCTGGCTGTGCTGTCCTTGATGGCTACGATTTATAAAATCAGACAATGAGTCTTTTTCATCACCGTGGAGACATTTCGGCCAACTGCTCTGTGCAGAATTGCTTTAATTCAGCTCCACAGGGGGATATTTTAGCATGCACAGTCTGTTTAGGGCTATGCACAACATCTTGACATACTGGAGAGCTTTGTGTCATTGTAACGCTGCATTACTGTATTTTACTTAAGTTTAACTGTTAGCAAGTCATTCGCCTTCATTTTGGGGCATCTTTTAAGAGGCTCAAAAGAGTAGTCCATTTTTTTGCCAGCCCAAAGTATATTACCTTTTTTTGGCAAATGAGAGACAGGCCAAGATATCAGTGGTTTTCACCTCACAACCCTTTTGTTGATGCTGCTTTTGCCCAGTGCTATGGGCCTTTTTGTGACCTTGTCAGTACATTCTTGACTTTCTTTTACTTTTTCGTTGGCTTAGTTTGTTTTTCCTTTTAATAGAGTACGGAGCCCTCTAGGGGACATGGGGAAAAAAAAAAATGTGTTCCCTCTCAATGTGCTTACTGCAATACTTGCTGGTCTGTTTTGTATACAGTCACAAATGTCAATTTAAAATTTCAAATATGCACATTTAATGAGCCTCAGTGTTTATTCTTAACTTTTTGGTGCAAAAAACAGATTGAAAATCAATTTATTCACTGCATGTTTGTCAGATATTTCACAATGAGATATTAACATACATGGGAAAAACCTTACAAAAACCTTATATAATAGCAGAAAGTGTGATGGACACTGTAAGAAAGGCTTACAGTATTCAAATATGCTGCATGAACTAATCAGTACATTATTGCAAGAAAACGCAAAACCTATTGCGAGGTAACGTAAAAGTATTGCAAGGGAATGCAAAAGTTTGTTCCCTAGAGGGGTCTGTAATAAATAAAATCATAATTTAAAGCTTATTCTTGTTTTTGTTATCTCTGTTTAATATGGATGGTCTAAAACATTTATTTATTAGAAAATAGGACAAATCTGTAATGGGAGAAAAATACTTTTTACTGGAGTATAAAATCTTCAAAATAGTACAATAACATTAAGTTGACAAGATGGGAAAAATCTTAAGAGGTGTAAATACTTGACAGGTTTTTTAACAAGCTTCTTTTTAACCTTGTATTAATTGAGTAACTGAATTATTAATAGAATAACTCACTTGTGTTTCTACTCAGCACTTAAGCTGCGGCAAACTTCGCCCAGAGAGATTGTGGTGAAGGGCAGAAACACCACCGTGTTTCTGCCTTGCCCCGTTCACTCCTTCCATGCCACCTACCGCTGGGAGAAGGACAACTGCAAAAGGAACTACCCGTGCCTGTTCTCCGGAGACTTCTGCGTACTGGGCCCGGTTGTTAACACTCCCTTGAAGGAAGGTGTCTTCCGTTGCATGGCCACTGAGGACGGATTCAAGGTGGAAGTCGTTTCCTTCAGGCTGGTGAATGATGGCAGGCTTATATCTGCTTCATTTGCCTCCACCTTGGGCCTTTCAGCCCTGCTTGCTGTGGTGACCATATGGCTTCATTAACTATAGCTAACACTGATGCTATCTTCTCTTTTGTAGTGGCTCCAACTGACAGGATAAACAAGGAGCCATTGTGGGAGTTAGGTTTGCATTGCACCGGCACTCATGGTTGAGTTGTGCACCGACAACTGAATCCTTTTTTTATTTAGGTTTTTATCAAGAACATACTAGTATAAAAATGTTTAAACTATCCTATCCACCTTATTATTGAACATGGAAGTATATGTAGGTCCAGCTTCCGGTTTTTCTGTGATTCTTTCATTTCTCCATTTTCCTGGGCTAACTAACAGCAGCTTGGCTAAACTTGTGAACTTTGTTGTACATTTCCTAAAATTGTTGAACAATCGAAATGGTAGGTTTAGTTCTGCACCCTCAAACTTTTCACAAGTGGGATGATGATATGAAGAAGTGACCTCGTTTAACATATGAGGACATTTTTATCTATTTGGTGTTGTCACTTGGTGCAGAGATGGCCAGGTGCTCCTGTGTCGCCGGTAAGGGGAAATCCTGCAGTCATGCAGTGGTGATATTATGGAAGGTAGGCTAATAAATTGTCATTTCACTGCATGCTAACTTACAAGGTGTGTCTTTGTTGTAATGAGATTGCAAATCAGTTTAATTTTCTGCAAGAAAACCACATGTGCCCATCATCTCAATTATTGTTCATTTAAATAATCATATTGCATTGCTACTCGAGTAAAATTTTGAGAGTCTACCTGATACGAGTAACTTCATTGAATAGAGAACAAACATGTTTTATCCAAAGATGAGGACGACCACGAAACACACCTACAGTTTACATTAAAGCAAGACTTTGTTTTGTTTCTAAGCTGTTTCTTCTTTTTTCCCCATCTTACTGCTGAACTTGTGCCATTTACTGGTGGTGAGTTACAGTAAGGACAGTACTATAAAGAGTAAATGTTGTCACTTTACTCTCAGAGCACACTCACACGCATATACCCATACACATAAATACACATACATACATGCATTATTATTATACCTGAAGAAATAAATTTGGAAATAATGTTATTCTGCCTAAATTTGTTTTGCTGTACTTGTGTATTTCCATGAATTATTTTCATATAAAGCTTTAGAATACCAGAATTTGTAAATAACTTTTTCTGTCAGATAACATTGTGTTATGATCAGTTACTCAGTATTTCAGAAGCTTTTATCAATTCCTTTTTTAGTTATACTTGAGTCATTTCTTGGATGGGTACATTTTACTTTTACTTAAATAATGTGAAGTAGTACTACTCTTACTTAAGTGCAATTTTTGGGGACTCTGCCCACCTCTGGTTAGCATAAACATACAGAACTAGCAAGTTTCTATCAGCTTGAATAGCAGTTAAACATCCCTTAGCTTACCTGCTTGTGCTAACCTCTTTGATACGTTTCCTTTGAGAGGTCATAGGGCGCCAAACATCTACATCCAGCTCTACAAAGTGGTTGTGACTTAACGACTTCTGCTCCAAGTATCTCTTTCCTTTGAACCAGTTATTCTCAAAGCCATAATGTTAAGTTAGTTATTATGAAGACGGTGAACAGTGAGTTAACTAGCCAGCGACCGGAAAAGCCTGACCAGAAGTCCCACACACACAAAAAAAAAAAAAAAAAACACACCATTCGTGTCCATATTTCTGTTCGAAATAAGGTGGATATCTTGGTCAAAAAAAATAACAAATCTACAGCTGTAGCTGATTGCATGAGATTAAAACTGTAAAATTCAGAACTTTGCTGACTAATAATGTAATTCAACCATGATGTGGTGCTTTGCGAACCTTCCTTCTCTTACTAAAAAGATGAACATATCCAGTGAGTTGGGCAAAAAAAACACCAATACCAGGCCAATTCTTTTAAACTTTTCTCTACATATTTTGAAATTACCTTGATTGTGCTTATTTGTGGATATGTAAACCTTTAATAATGCTCTTGCATCTCTTCATTCCTCTTGTTCAAATTTATTGTCTAAGCTCATTGGAACCTAAAAATGTCTGGTATTGAGATTTTAAAAGCCTTAATACTTTTGCGACATGGACTCCTAAGCACAATTTTGCAGTTGAGGCTGAAAACTGCAGACTCAGTTGGACTTGGGGAAGTGTTCAGTGCAGCTGAGTCTAACAATGTGGCTGGGAGGAAGTGACAGCTTTTAGATGGAAAGTAGGCGGATGGGCCTCGAACATCACTGTGTCTCAGCACTTCCTCCTCAGACTGGGCAGTTTCTAGCAATGTTTCAGCAGATGGTTTCAAACAACATAACTTCGCCTTGTTCACGGCTTCGTGCATTGTTCTTTTCCTTCCATCATGCCATCATCTCTCATTTATCCTGTCCCTCATAATCTGTGATATTCAATTAAATATCATTCTTATTTAAAGTTAGGTCCAGAGATAATGATCTTTTTAAGTGGATGGTGGCATGTCATGACCACAATCCATATATGTACATCAAAATTGGGAAATTAGAACAGATAGCTGCTGGTCAAAGAGGAGCAGTTTTCTTTTAAATGAAAAATAATTTATTTTTACCAGACCAGTGGCGGTTTTTGATATGAGTGAAATTGCTCTTTGCCCAGGTTAACCTTTTGTCGCGAAGAAGGTTGTCCTGTTCTGTTAGTTGCACCCAGATTGAGTTTTTATTGTGTATCTGCATGTCAATGGGGATTGTTTGCCCTCCTACGTTGTGCACAGTTTAAGCACTGTGAGTAAACATGGCAATGCACCACAGCCAGTTGATGATGTTCAGCTCCAAACTAAAGGGCTATATCACTGTATTTTCCTAACAACCTGAAATCTTCTGTCTCGTTCAAATCTGTTTTGACCTACTGATTTTTAAAAATACTAACATAAGTGCCGAGTCTTCAAAAGACTGACTTAATTGGTGAAACTGTACTTTTAAACAATAAAATATGGCAAAAAAAATGTGGGATTCATAGCTTTCTCAAAAACATAGTTAAATTCTGTTCCTGTGTCATGCAACATTTATGCAAAAACCGCCACTGTACCAGACAATGCCTAAAGTTGTGAGCAAGACGGTATGCTATAATAATTTCAGTAAAGATGCTTAGATAAACACAGAAACAGTTGAAACTAAGTGAAACCATTTATTTCACATGCATTTTATAGGTTTCCAAGAGAAGAAAAGAGAAGGCTTACCGACTGACAATGTCTTTTGAATATTTTTTTTCTCTGCAAATGCTGATTTCTACCATTGCTGCCTACATATATAAGCATTTGTTTTGGTAATTTGTTGATTTGAACGTGACACCTGACCACAGGACCTATATTTATATATTTGTATTTTAAATCTCTGAAACAAAAGGCTTCAGTAATTCAAAGAAGATCATTCCCTGGTCTGGTAATTTCAGACCATTTACTTTAATTGCGTGTAAGGCCTTCACAGTTGTGCTTATCAGGGCATCACAGATGAACAGGAGCATTTTCTATCGGGAACAAGAGGCAAGGTTTAAATCCAATCACTGCAGCATCATATTTAATTTAATTTAATTTAATTTAATTTTTATGACCGTGGACAAAAATGGTGAAAAAGATAGATTGGATTATATTGCTATTAAATACTAAAACATACTATTAATCATAAACCTTAAAATATCAAACACTGTGCTAAACCTTATATGTACTGATTGTCTGACTAAGTAAATATTTTTTCAGTGATGAATTATGCATTGGATTAACAGGTCCTCCATTGAGGCAATGGAGTATTATCATTGACTAAAGGTACACGAATCTGTCTGAGATCAGCCTTCCACAGTGGTAGAAATGTCATTAAATGTTAATCAGACAACAGAGCCAGCCTGTCATGCTTTCTATTGAAGAACTTATTTTAGGCCATTAGAGATGTGGGCTGCAATCTTCTTCTCCACTGTGAAAATGCATGTGTGTGACACAGCATTGTGTTCTTCATTTAGCTGCGTGCATTCTGCTGTCCCCAGATGTGAGCCACTGACTGTGACACAAAAGGGTAAAAAAAAGGGAAAGCAAGGCATCTATAAAAACTGTTCACTTGGTGCTTTTTGCTTCATTTATGTTCATTTGAAAACTCCCTCCTTTCTTACGACAAATAACAAATTGTGTCTGATAAAACCCAAGTACTACTAGAACATCGATCTTCCTTACAGGCAAACTCACGAATAACCACTTCAGGTTTAATGGTAATCCTGTGTTTTTCTTTGTCAGCACCATGGTGGGAAACTCACTCTAGCCTAAAGCCAAGTGCTACTCAACATTTAATAAAGGCTGTTTTACTCCAACCTGCCGCAGAGTTTTGGCGGAAAATAAACAAAAATCATGGATTTGCTTGAGGCAATTTTACAAATAACCTCTTTATACCGCAATTTTAACTGCTGATTGCTGTATGTTTATGTGATTAGATTAGAGATGCTGTTATGACAAGACGCAGAGTAAAGTGGGATATGGGATCCAACTTGGTGATTGAGCCTGGTGGCATGAATGTTCATGTATCCCAAAACTGATTATTAACAAAGAAAAAAAAACAGCTTACATAAGGAAAAACCTACTTAAAAGTAACCACTCCCTTCTATTATAACAAAACAAGTGAAAGTCAAAAGAAATATATTTATAACAATATGTGGTTGATAATTTATTAGTGTTTTCATTTGGGATAACAAAGCTTTTTTTTTTTTTTTTTTTTTTTTTTTTTTTCTTTTTAAACATTTGAACAGGACATATGGGCATCAAATATTCTAAGACAAATATGCAAATATGAACTATGTCGTTCCAAACTGAAATACTCCTAAAAATTGACATTTAGTTTATCGAAGGAGGCTATGCTTTAAATGGCTTTATGGCCTTTCAAATAAACCATATGAGATTAGATAAGATTTAGCTGTCATGCAGATTATTAGTGTACAATATTAAGATTTATAAAAGGACAATTCAGCTAATGGTTGACACTAAGTGACTTCTCAACCTGTTTTTTTTTTTTTTTGTCTCCAGTTCAAACCAGAGCCACAAAAAAATAACAATTTATATAGAGTCCAAGTCCATAATAAAAACCAGTACATTTCCTCAGTATTACATCAACAGTATTACCTCTTTGTCTCCAGTGACATACCCAGTACAGCAGTATCTGCTTTTTTCCACGTTGACGAAAAATTAGTTCATTCTGGATAGTGTTATGTTTCCAAATACTTATGAGTCCTACCTTAATAAACTAAAATCACATTCCTGCTGCCAATGTTTGCTAAATTGCTAGGCTAATGCTAGCATGTTTCTTTGGTATTTTGGTAATTCAGCTCATAACATTACATGATGGTGTACACAAGGAAGACTTTGGGGAAAAAAATGGTGTTTTTTAACTGAACACTTTGCTTTAAGCATTTTAAAATTCTGGGTTTTATCTGCAGCTGTCCTCCATACTTGTCTAAGCACACTGCTCAGATCAGGTCACTTGGAAAAATATGAAAAAAAAAAAAGAAAAAAAAAAGCTGCAGTATTTCTTGCACTGTTGAAAAGTCAACATAACATAATGTGTCAGGTGTAAAATATTTTTTTTCTGTCCTGCACACAATGTTCGGCTGTAGTTTTTGAAGGATAGCTGGGTGACCACATGGCTAGTTGTAACTATCACAGAATCCATTAGAAGCAGTCAATCATTGTGATCAGAGTTAAGTAAGCAACTCCAATACTAGTCATTTAACAATACCAGAAACAGGATTAGATTAAAACATCCCTACTTCGTAGGTGATGGTACTGAAAGTAGAATAATGATGTACAAACACACTTTAACTACAGAATGACTGCTCTCAGTGTCCATTTAAGCTAACGAGTAACAAATGATAATTTGATGCATTAATGAATATTAATAATTATCAAAAATACCTTATATTCTTTATATAAAAACATTCCTATTAGAGTGTCTTATAATTTACCAATTTATTTAGTTTTTGTTTTTAAATATATTATTGTAGTCAAGGGAAAACTTTGTGTAAAATGTTTGAATTATAGTTTTGTGTTAACATTAATTACAGCAAAATTGTAAAAATATATTTTAACTACAGATATGAAGTAAATATAGTAACTCAAACCTGTAAAACTACCACATAAGAGGATCTATTATTCAGCTACAAGTTCCCTTCTAATACATGCAGAATGCTACGTACAATTGAGGCGTTAACCTTCTGCTTCTACTGACAGTTTTCAGTTTCCCAGCAACTGTTGGTAGACGAGAAAAAAATAAATCAACATTGTATAATATGAATTATCAAAAATGTCATGTTTGAAGCCAATACTACTGCTTACATCTTTAGTTTAGGAATCAGGATACATGGTTTGTTTGCTCATATGAAGGAAAGACATGATTTGAGGGTGGAATCGATTCTCCATTGATCATTGTCCAACATTTTTATTCACCCAGAATATTTTAGCACTTGTTTAAACAACACTGTTTAAGATTTACAGAGTTTCTTGAACTTGCTGTCATCAATCAAGCTAAGAAGATCATCTGAGTCATTGCCTTGATATGGATTTTGGCAGTTGCTACATTCAGATTACGTTATCGCTTTTCTGGCATCTGTAGTTGTCAGCCAGTTGGCTAAATGCTAATCTCCTTCAAAGCAGGCTTTTGATTTTCAATAGGGGCAGAATTGTGGTGGATCCTGTTATCTGTTGTAAATGAATCAGACTTGTAGGCGGGTTGCTTTTTTGTTTGCTGTGGGGCTTTTGAGTGTCAAGTACTGTACATGATGTGTGCCCATGATTCTGTGTCTTGGTAGATTTACTTTTAATAGCAATGTGCCAAACTCTACTATATGAAAAAGAGATTTATACTGTCTTGGTGCCATGCCATTCTAATGCCATTTCATGACATGTATTTTTAAATAACAGATATCTATAGTGCAATAGATTTTCATGTAACAAATTCATATTGACATGTGTTTCCCTGAACATGTGCAGTGAAAATTAATAAAATTATAAGTATAATGAAAATGATTTGTTATTTCTTTATTTGGGACTTTTTTCATACTTTAGGGAGTCTGCATGAATACACGTTTTAAAAGCTTTTTATGTAAACTTCTGTCTTGCATAGACTTTATTTACCTACCAAGTTACAGAAATGCATAATTCTGTAAATCCAAACCATTACATTTCTATTGATGATTGCTTCAAACCAAATCTATGAACCAAAAGGTCATTTCAAACAGGAAAGATTTGGCAGGTCTACACATGCCAAAATGCAAAATGGTGGAGAGACCTGATTGCACAAGCTGGTTCCACAACCATCTGCTGGCCAAATGACAAGATAAGACTTGCAAAATCTTATTTGAGAAATGTTTGGAATATGTTTAATCACAAAATCATCTCCCAAATTTTTGGAGTCTTTATTTGAATTTTTCTGTCCATCATTAAGCACAAACATGTTGTAAGGCATTCAGGTCAATTGTGTTGCAACAACTGGGTAACACTTTACAGCAGTGTATGAAAAACATTAATTTTAAATTTTGTACTTTAACTTCTACAGTTCATTAGTTTTAGATCTATTTGCAGCATTCACCAAATGAAATCCAACAAGTGTGCTGGTCTAACACATATGTGCTAATTAGCAAGTGTGCTAATGAGTTTTCACACCTCTTCAACACATACATCATTAGCACATTTTTTAATTACACCCCTAATGGCTCAAATAAAAAGTGTAATAAATGAAGTTATGTCTTTTAGAGAATACTTCTTGGCTTTATGCTTATTTTCCCCTGATTGTTCAACTGTTCACATGTAACCTTTTGCACCAATATTTAAATGTACAACTTTTGTCTCTCTTTACATACATCTCAAAATGGATTCTGGCAGAGTAGGAGAAAGAACCTAAATCCTTTATGAGCTTTAGTTACCTCCATAGATTTGTAGGAAGAATCCCATCCAGAGAGCAGCTTTGTCTCTTTTTCTTTAGTCACTCCTTTGTTGTGTAGAAGGTTTGGGTAATTGTCATACTGAAAACCCTAAAATGACTTTTCATCAGTGTTCTGACTAACAAAAAAGGTTGTCATCCAGGATTTTATGGTACATGGCCCTGGCATTGCCAATCTCAATACAGTAAAGTCATTTACGTGGCCAGAAAAATGGCTCCCCATGAATGTCTTCTATAACTTCTGACCGGCTATCTTACCCCAGCCTTGCAGATGTATAACCTTTTCACATTGTCATTTGGCAGCTCTTCATGGCATGTTTTTACCTGCTGTCAAGGCAAATGGAAAGAAACAAACATCCACTAATATGAGGAGTCTGGAAATAGTATTGGTTACTTTTAGTACTGACAAAGTGTTTAGATTAGAGTCAAATACTTCTTTCACTAAAGGAGATGCAACATTGAAAAGCATTTTTTTAATTTCATTATTACTGTTTGTATAATTTTACTTGGATTAAGCTAGAGCAATTTCTAAGGTGGGAAACATTCAAAATCAATTAATGACAGACCAATTAATGAATGTATAACAAGGCACAACTCTGGGAAATCTTTGATCTTCTATAGCATTATTATTCAACCGTAAACCTGCAGACCAGGTTAGCCATTTCAAGCTGATACCTTTTGGGATGAAGGTTGAATTTCAAGAAAATAGCTCAAATAAAAGAAAGTCCAACATACATTTTATTTCTTTATAAATCCATGTTAGGTTGAAAAGAAGGTTCTTGAATTTTCTAAACAAGTTGTTTAAAGGAAAAAGTGAAACTTTCAGGAAAAAAAGAACTTACTTTTTCCTTTAAACATGAGTCACCTTTCCAAAATTAGCAGTGGATGTGGAGAACCTTTGATTAGTTTGAAGAGTCAGATAATTCAGAGCAGAACGAGATTCCTCCCAAACCTTCGTCATGAATGAATGTGCACTTGGAAGAAATCAGGTTTCTCATAAAAATTCTGCAGCCAAATGAGTCAGAACATATGAAAAGTGATAAATGATGACTCAACAGAGAGCAATGACCTTGCAAAAAAATAGCACATCATATTCCAAAAGCCACAAGATGAAGCTTCAAAAAACTGATGACAACTTGTGCAAAGGCTGTTTTTAGTCATGCAAGCAGCAAAATGATTCAAGTGGAGCTGAGTCAGCCATCTATTTCTCTCTGCTAGTGGAACTATTACAGAAACACTTGCTCGGACTTTGATGAAATTTTTAAACTTCTCCAGCTGTTGTCAGAAGAAGTGAAACATTGGTAATCCTCCTTCCTATTTGACAACCTCTGGAAGGCAAAGGTTATCACAATCAGATTTAGCCATTTAACTGAAAAGTTCTTGAGAAGTTGTCAAAAATAAGGAATGTGAAGTTGGATGTATCTGAAAAAAATTTTCTTCTACATAAACATCATAAAATTACCTACACATAAAGGTGATAGTCTTGTGCAGGTCCAACATGCCACCTGATGTGTGCCAATATATCGTTTCAAGACCTCCATTATGCTCAAAGTGAGCGGTATTGGCCTGTAGAGATTTAAAGCTGTAGGATTATTCTTTTTTAATAAAGCATTAGGACTCTCAACAGGTGCAAGCTCAGGTTGAAAAGGTGCTGTAAAACTTCACATAACTGGGTTTCACCACACCAAGCCAGATATTGACTGGTCCAAGTGCCTTCCTGAGCTATTAAACCCCTGTCTGCAGCTGGGGATCACTGGGACGGACTCTTGATTGGTCTGGAGGTGGTCAGGTGAGATTGAAGCTGCAGGAGTTCACATTACAATGTTTACAACAGCTTTCCTCCTATAATCATTAGTTATTCCCCTTGTCTAAAACTTGTCTTTGCTTCTTGATCCAAATATCCATCCCCTCACTTTCTGTTCTTTATTAGTTCTCACCTAAACACCTTTTATAATGAACAGATATGCCCAGATTTATTTAGACAGCAACATGCTTTGCTGTTGAGAAGTGAGTAGTTCAAGCACTCAGACTCCATCATTTTTTGGTAATATTGTTTCAGGTTTCAATTTCCAGGTCTCGATTTTGGATGCCGGAGAAACAAGTCTGGATTGGCCTTCATGTAACCCCATTCGACTTCCCCACTGACTCCAACCAGCTTGCCTGTAACATCCAAATAAAGCCTCTCCACAACATGACAAGTCTTAGTTTCTCCAATTTGTATTGGACAGAATGTTAGAATAAAAAATAAAAATCCAGATAAAAAAACGTTTTGTGACTGCATCATGAACCAGCAGCTTGATTTAAGACATTTAACTTATTCTGAATATGGTTGCTGTTATCATCATCTCTCAGCTAAAAGGGTCAGCAGAGAAGGAGAGTCTCAGTTTGTTTTTTTGTTTTTTGATGATGATTAATATGCAGGGACTTTCCAGGTGTTAAAGCTGAAACAGAAATGTTACTTTTGTGCCTTTTAGGAGTGCTGATAATCTTAATGACCTTGCAGTTCAAAGAGATTCTGAGACTAGTTATGTTCAGTTATCAGACTTCATGATTTTACATGCACACAGAGGGACTGTAGCTCATTAAATGAGAGTCAGACTTTAAACCAGTCACCTTTAAAACCTCATAGTGGAATATCCGAATGCAGCCGCCTTCCCTCTGACTTGTATTTCCTTCCTGCAACATTTAAATTTCCGGAGCCTTTACCCCAATCCGACAGCAGAGACAGATTTACTGTAACAGCGAAGGAAGTTGCACAGTTTGGATAAAAACATTGCTACACCAGATCGACAAGCAGAACGGCTCTTTCCAAGAGATGCGAAGTCTATGTTTCACTTTGAAGTTAGATTGCACAGCTTTAGTAGTACAAGGTTGCTCATTTTACCTTTAAAGGACTGAAAAGAAATCACAAACGTAATGTGGAACTGTGCCAAACCACAACACGGAGATCAACCTGGAGCCCTGCTCAGCAAAAAAAACATATATATTTATACGTTTCTAAGTGTTGAGAAAAGGTCATGATAGAATGCAACAAGACTTTCAGCTCTGAAACAGCAAAGAGATTCTTAGAACACAGGATTATAATGACAAAAAATAGCAATATATTACGGGGGAAACCCCGCTTGGCATCCTAAATGCACTTTTCCAAAACCTTTATTTTGAAAGAAAGGTTGTCTTAATCATAATGCATTTAAATATTTTATGTAAACACCTTTTAGCATTCATTATCTTTTGCTAGTCATTTAAATAATCTGGAGTTCTTCAAACAAAAATGACAGCTTGAGTTATTTCTTAGATTGCCGTCAGGTACAGAGAGTTGTTGACACTTCCTTAGAAGAATTTTGGATATACTCGTAGACGTCATAGTTCTCGTCTCTTCTTTTTGAACGCTTTTTGTAGAACCTGTGCGAAGAGTAAAACCTGAAATGAGTAAAATCCACTCTTGATACTGTAGGTAAAGAATTGTTTGAATTTTGTGAACCCTATGGATATTTTCCTGTTATTTAACACTGGTTTCCATAGAAGCAGAAAAGTGTTTGTTTGTTTTCAGAACTGCACAATATGCTATATTTAGTCTTATTTCCCACAGATGTGGGTCCTGTTTGTGGCTATTGTCTTGTCATGTGAACAGAATATCCTGTACCCCATTTTTTTTCTATTTTAAGACTGTCCCAAAGTTTTCCAGTAATTCCTGTAAATATAATAGTCTGACTTATCCATATTTATGACCTCTATTTCATATAACAGCCATAATAATTAATTTAACTTTGACCATTGAGTTCTCGTTCGCAAAATCCTGGCCAAGAAAACAAATACATGGGGTGTATCACAAAGCAGAGCAGTAAATTACATAAAACTGACTTAAACAGAAGCCCAGAAACATTTCACATGGTTATCAATTTCACCTGCTCTTTAAATTCATTTAGGGTTGCAAAGTTTTACACATTCAGTTCTCAATAAGCTTTAATAAGTAAGCTAATTAATATTTAACCACATTTTTTAAGCCCTGACAGCTTTAGTAAACAGCGTGAAAGGCCTCATTTTGGTTAACACTAACTTTCAAAAAGTATTGCAACAACTACCTGTATGTTTTTCCAGATAAAGCTCACTCTCAGTAGAAACTGGAACAGTGGGAAGGACGAAAAACAGTTCCTCCACCGACACTTCCTACATTCCTGAGCAACTCGCACACAGACTGGAAGAGAGTGAAATGGAAAAAAAGACAGCCAGTGGGAGGGGGAGAGAGAGGGAGACATAAAAATTAAGTGAGCTGACAAAACAGAGAAGCTCCAGGCTAACTCGTCCAGACTTGAGTCACTTATGACACGGTGCTTTACCACAACACAGGTTAGAAACTGAAGGGAAGAGTCAGACTACCTGGTAAGTCATATCTGATTTAGTTTGTTTGCATGCTCTAGAAAATTAATCTTAAAGTTTTAGAAAGTATCCCTCAGCTATGACAGATTTCACACTAATGACGATGATTTTTCTGCTTAGTGAGCCTTGTATGTTATTATGACAAAAAGAGAGTTGTCAGACACTTTCTGAGGTAGAAGTTTACTGCAAGGTAGATTAGTAATAGCGCTGTAATATTCTGTCTGAGCATGTTTTGTCAAAGCAGTGCATTGCTACATGAAAAGTGCTTTCAAGAGTGTGTTAGTCAAATCAAACTGAAGATTAAGTTTATTAATAGTTGGGGTCTAACCCTTATGTGCTGTCTCCAGAGAGCTCAGAAACATGCGCTGACATTGCATTGGCAACACGCTTTGTATTTTTTCCTCCCAATCATTTTACTAATTTATTTTCTATTGCTTCCATTCAAAATTTACCGTGCCAATATGCTTATCTGCCATATATAAAACACATTGGTGTGACAGCTTTAATTAAATTACCCTTGAGTGATGATTTACAGGATTCTAATCTTCATAGCAACAGCATTAGATTTTTGGGTAATTGATGAACCTTAAGATCTGCTGAATTGTGCAAGCATAAAAATAACCAAGCACAAATTCAATTAAACATAGCTTTATGTTTATTTAAAATTATATTTACAGATAATAAGTAAAATAATATTTTGTAGCCATATTCATCTGGTAATAGATGTTATCAGAGGTTCAGCTACCGAAAATGTTAATTGCAATGGACCAGCTGGAAGTAATGTACAACTACAGGCAACAGAGCAGATGGTGGTCAATTTATTGATTACATATTTGACTTTTAGTCTGTTCTGTTAGAATACAGTGTCACTTAGCTGCATTTACAAGTCTTATGTTCAATAACAAAGTGGACAGCAAACACTACTTTACCCTTTATGGGCAGCTCATCTTGAGTAACTTGGGGTTAAAGACTGTATTGCTCAAGATTGCCTCAATCTTGCCAAGAAAAGAGGTCTGCCATTTTCACTTCCTCCATCCAAATCTGTTCTGCTCATTCAGGAAAGACTCTGGATATTCTTATTATGAAGACATGCTACTGATGACAAGTCTATCTTTTTTAGAGAAAAACGTTCTGGCTGATTGGTTGACTAATTTCTGAATAGGTGGATTTGGCATAAAGTTGGTATAAAGCACAAGTTGATTAAGCCACCCAATAAAAACCAAAACTGGAAAATTCACAATATAAAGAAAAGTCAGAAAGACAAACACCTGCTTTGATCCCACATTTGGGCACTGCTGAAAGATAGGCATTCTTTATAAATGCTACTTCAAAAGTCAGCAAAAAAAATGTCTAACATCCCATCACTTTATATCCTAATCATGAAACATTTATGCTTCCTACATAATGTCCACAAAGTTTCAATTCATTCTAGCTTAAAAATTTCCTCTATTTAACCAGGTTAAAATCCCATTGCAGTCTAGATTTCATTTGCAAGGGGGACCTGGGCTGAAGTTTTGCAGAAATATATGGATGTTTGACACAGAGATAAATAATAAAAGGTTACTTTTTAGTGTTGACTTTATAGAGATGGGATGTAAAGAACAAGGCTGATTTTATTGCACCACTCTAAAGTTTACTGGAAATGAAACTCAAACTTCCATGTTTGCTTAGACCAGAAAATGTTTTCCAGTATCATTTCAGTTGCCTTAGAAGGTTGAAAAAAATTAAAGCAGAGTTTTGTTTAGCCCTTTGCTCATTGGTTCATTCATCCTGGGTTTACTCAGTAAATCATTGTTCATTGTTCAGCAACTTGTTAATACATCCAGATCCCAAAGCAATGGCCCATGATGAGTCAAATCATATGGGAACTTTTTGTTTCTTTTTATGGAGTGTAAACATGAGTTTCATATTTTCCCTTCACTTTGATTAGTTGTTTGTGTTTTTTAAAGTCTTGCTCAGAAAGAGTGTCCATTGTCAAAACAGAATGAACCCAGGTGTAACAAATTGAACTGGCAATTTTCATAAATCACTGCTATCATCCACAACAATGAGCCAGACTGTGCAACTGCAGAGCTGTGGCAGCTAAAGACAGAAATGGTATTAAGAGGCATAGATATAGTTACCCCCATTTCACAAATTAGTTGATGTAATGAAAATTGATGACAGAATGTAACCTGAGAAGAGTTGTTATTTTGTCATGGCAACAATGAGGCAGTGAACCATTACATTTTGGAACAAAGCTGCTTTGGCTCATTGCACACAGTGATACTTTTCAGTAAGAGGCAATGAAACTATTAATTATTTTCTGGCATACGAGACACTAAGTCTGCAATGTAAACTAGAGACATACACAGAATCTCATGTTACCACATGTCATATGTTTTTCCACCCTTTTTTAATTTACCCCTCTAAAATCTGGTAATCTTAAATAAAATGCAGTGCAGCTGACTGCTTTAAGAAGTCACTTTGATGGTGACTATATTGGAAAGAGTGTTCAATTTATTTTCTGAAAATAAAAACGTACAGAAATCTATAAAGACGTAGCGTAAATGCATCAGAGAAGCAACCAAGAGATCAATAGTAACTAACGGAGCGGCAGACATTCATAAGTTAGGATGGAGAATATGTTGACAGGATAACTCTTAGCCATGCACACAACAAACCTGACTTTTATAGAAGAATGGCAAGATTAACGCTATCGTTATGAGAAAGCAATAACAAGTTGTGTCCATCCTTAAGGATGGGTAATCTGAGGTGGAAGTATAGCAATGAGAAGATGCTTTGCTACAGTACATCTGCAGACACTGATAAGAGTTGATAGAAAGATAGTTAAACTGGTTAAGTACAGAGCAATTCTGAAAGAAATCCTGTTAAATATTTAAAAAGATTTGTAAATTTGTCAGAGGTTCAGAGCCACGTAAGACATCAACGCCAAACAGAAAAGCAGAACCGCCATTGAAAGATTCAGTTAAAAGCTTATCTTGATGTTAAAATAGCCGTGTAAAAATCAGTTTCATCAATCATTTTGATATGGAAGGAAGAACTTCAGCACATAAACATATTGAGCCTCTGTTGCTGTACAGGATGAACATCATTACCTGAAAGCTCAGTTTTCCAGAATCCACTGGTCCAATGTAAGCGCAGCTGTGTTTGTGGATAGCATGTAAACACAGAGCCTCAATAAACCAGCATACAGAACATCAGTGACATAAGTCTGCAGCCTTATTAAATCTTTCTTCTGTAAGAGGGGAAGCTGGCTTGGTGACATAACACTGCAAAAACATGTCAACCCAAGAACTGTTTGCCACTGGATATTGACAACTAGATAACTGATGCATTAATAGAGATCTGGACTCTCAAGAATGACGTATTTCTTACCATGTCAGATATATAACAGTTTAATCATTTATGAAACATTTGTTTCTTGTTCTTGCATAGCCAGCAAATCAGTCACTGGGCTAACAGTTTCAAATCTTAGACTTTATTTTCAGTGTAGTTTCAGAGTACTGTGTTTTATTTTAAAGTTTGGTTTATGCTGCTACAGGATTTTGTACTAAAATTTTCTCAAGCCACTCACTGGTACTTTATCAGGTACACACTGCCGGGTGGTCAACAGGGTGTCAGAAACATTTCTGAGTATTTGAGCCAGATTGACAAGATGGCATCACACGTCAGTTGCACATTTGTCAACTCTACATCCATGATGAAATTCATTAATCAAGTTAACAAATAACAGATGCACCTAAAACAACATCAGTGCAATAAAATGCAAATCAGATATTTAAAATTGTGCAATGTGATTTTCTCTCACAATTGATGATCGGTGGTATATCAAATGTTCATTCACCCTGTACATGTCAATTATTTTAATGAAAGGAAATAAAACACGTGTATCAACATTCCTCCTGTTGCAATTCCTAAGCTACTGGTTGAGTACATTTGCTCCAACAATTTATCCAAACTGTTTTCATTTGGACCAAACACTTAGCTCCGCTAGTCTCCAGTTTATAAGTGCTAATGATATTGGATGGAGGATGCAGAAAATACTTTTTCACGAAATATTTGAATATTCTCTAAATACTATTTCTAATAAATGTCTTTTTTTTATTAAACAAAACACTAAATAGACCAGGGAACATACTTCTAGAGCATTCTAGAGCATGAGCTCAGTTATAATATTCTTTAAACAGTTTTCTTTTCTTGTCCTGCATGGTGTTGCAACAAAAAGTCCTGAGGTAATATTTTATACATGAAGTTTTCAAGTTATCCTTGTGTATTATTGGGTATTCTCTCCAGTAATCCATACTAAGTTCCTTTAAGGTGTGTCTGTGTGGCTGTTTGTCCTGTTTTGGACTGGTAACCTGTCTAAGGTGTAACTCGCCTCTCACCCAGTGACCCACACAGATAGGCACCAGGCCCTCTTTGACCCCACAACGATTATATGGGTGTAGAAAATGGCTTGATGGATGTTTCCTCTTTCATCAGTGAGTCAAACTTCAGTGTTATCTTCCTTTATCAGTATTTAGGATGGACAAGGTTGTTCCGGGTCACTGGCAGTGCTACTCAGCAGACTTATAAACATGACATAAGTTCTCAACGCTATTTTTCAGACATGAAAAAAGGAAATATATCTATTTTTATCAAGGAGTTTCCCTGTTGTTCTGCTTTATAAGCTTGAAAGTGAGCAAAACTGAATTTGAAAAAAAGAAAGATCTCTATATTACCTACGTTTTCTATGTCCATCACAATATACCTGTAGATCATAACTATGACTGCAACACCTGACCTCAGTAGCAAAGATCTATTTAAAACATGGAATATAGCGATATCTACTGCAGCATTCTTTTGCACATTCCTTTTGCAGATGGGCTTGCAAACCAAAGAACAAGTGCATTTTCTCTTTTGTGAACAAGTCAGGCACAAAAATCAATAAAGCAGACCCTGACAAAAACAAATGTCGTGTCAGGTTAATATCAAACCTGATGCAGAGCATACTTATTCCAAGAATCTTTTTTTTTTTTTTTTTTTGTACCTGGAACTAAAACCATTGAATTAAAAACTGAATACAACAGGAACTAAAAAATATTTGCCTTGAAACTTTTTGTCTTCTTATTTAGTGCAGTAAGCTAGTTAAGCTTTTTTTCTGGAAAAAAAGGGGGAAATAAATAAACAAACAAAAAAACAAAGTAGATTTTATTTCAAGTGTAACTTGTTAAAGCTTAAATATTCCAAAGTTGATATTGAATGCATATATTTTTATAATAATGCCCATTATTTGTTATAGCTGTTAAAACCATTAGGGGTTACGACTTGGATAGGTCATCTGTCTGACAGGGAAAACAACCAGAATTGGACAAACTCACTTCAGTGTTGCTTAGGGTGGCCAACTAATCTAACATGGATATTTGTGGACAGTGTACCCGGAGAGAAAGCAGGCATGCACACGCAAAACAAATCAAAAATGTTTCAGATGTTCCTCTGCTTCAACACACATCAAACAAGGTGCGTCTTGAGAACCAACACTAAAAAACACTCTTCCAAAGACACATCGGTCTGAAAACAGCAGAGCTATTTGTTAAAAATAACCACATATTCTTCAAACTATCTGGAAAGCCTTCAAAGGGATAACATCCCATATAAAATGTAGGGACACTCAGTTGTTATTATGCTGGTGAGGAATGACAGAAGAGCAAAGTCCTTGCATGGCTGAACAGCTCAACACTTCCCCTGGAGGAGAGCTTTGGTTACTACAGCCACTGCCATAAAAAAAATAAATAATAAAAAAAAAAGACTATAACTTTTTTAGCTGGCACTTGTTATAAATAAGATAATAAGATGTAACAAACACCATTTAATTAACACAAGATGAAATGGGACCAATTTAAATTAAGATACCTGTAGATCAGAATGAATATGATCTATATCTGTATGCAGATATTGGATATTATTTCAGAGCAAGATATATTTCATACAATATTATTAAAATGGAAATGACACAAGAGAATTGACCATCAGCCAAAGAAGTTTATTATCATTTTCTTTCTTTGTAGTACTTTTTATCACCTTTGATAATAGCAAGTGATACCACAAAGCGGATGCCCTTTATGTGAGGTAATTTCACTTTCCTGTAAACACATTGTCTGTTAATTTGATCAACAGTAAGAAGCAGATCCTCACTTCAGAACTGACAAGATAAGTAATCAATGAAGCAGTAAAACTGTTCCCGTATGAGGTCATAAAGAAGAAGGAAAACCAGCTCCTAAGGAAGCAATATGACATTAATTCAGTGGAAAAATATATTTATTTTGACACATTTAACAACTGAAAATTTAATAGCTACTTACAGCAGCTATGAAAGACTTTGTGTGAGTCTAGCTGTAATTCAAACAAACAGCTGATGTAAAAAAAAATATAAAATAAAATTCAGAGGAATTTACATTAAAAAACTCTTGGCTATAATATCTACAATTTGTTCAACATTCCACAATGTTTTTGGATTTTTCAATAATATTTCAGCGGACTCTTTGAAAAGAGTTACTAGTCTATCATATTTTTGTGTTTGTGTCTGGTCGAGCCAACATAATGACTCACATTTGTATTATGGTTCCAGTTTTATTCTGCAATAACCCCATCCAGGCAGAAATGTTTATTCAAGCTGTGTCACTCCTGGACCCAATAAAACGAACACTGTTTGTTCAAGAGGTTATCACAAAGCTTTATCTTTACTTCACGTGAGGACAAAACAGTTTTTTTAGCATCTCAGTATCAGTACAGGTTGAGCACAGCTAAAAGTGACAGCAAATACAATCTTCAGTGATTTAAAGCATGGTGAGTGTTTTACAGCAAACAACGCCTGGATGAGTGAGTATGTCTGATCATATTTGTGTCTGCAAATTGATTATATTTAACACACTGTTGGTTTCCAGAAGATGTGTGTTGCAAGATAATTTCAGTAAATGCATAGTTAAAAATTGGTTTCAGGTTTTTATAAACTGATTACACATTTAATCCAGACAAACAATGGCACACATTTTTTACCTTCATAACTAAGTAGAAAACATTTAGAACAAAAACATATTTCTATATTTTTCAAACACAAGAAATTGTGTGTTTTTGTAAGTGTACGGTACTTTATTAAATTGTTTTGATTCTCTTTGATACTTTTACATACATGGAAATTTTAAAAGTTGAACAGAAAACAGTGACAAAAGGAAAAACTTACATATTTATGAAAGGAAGAATGATTTGTGTACTGTATTGTCTGCTGAGATAAGTAGGAAACCAGAGCCAAGACATGTTGGAATTGATTGCCTTGCAGTGTCAGATGCAGATTTATTGTTGCTCATACAGTAAATGAGAGAACAACAATTATACAGACAAAACTAGCTTAAAATAAATTAGCAAATAAATAAATAAATACATAAATCAATAAATAAAAATGAGACAGAAATAATGTGTCTACTGTAGTGTATAGTTGTGCTTGCCTCTTGTTGCATGATCCTTGTTTGTTCATGCTATGGTGTGATTGCATCAAATGTGCTACATGCGTTTGATTTTGTGTGTGACAGCAGGTGTCTGTATGTTTGTATGCCAGTGTGCAAAGAAGTAGAGGCAGAAGGTGTTTAAGTTGTGGGAGGAAATTAAGACTGGAGGGAATAAAGATTCCCCCTTTGAAATACAGTGACTTCAGAAAACCAAATTCATTAGATACATTAATAAGCCAGTTAAAGGATTATCAATTTAAAGCTTTATTTGCTTTTCTATGGCATATCAAAAAATGATCCAGCATTATTTTTTAAATCGCCTGGTACTGAGGCATGTTATCTAATCTCCATCTGAATCACACACATTTTTTTGACGTGATGTCAACAATGCTATGAAATTGATGTAAATACTCACAGTTTTGGCGGCATTGATGCCATGATTACATTATTTCATTCCATGCCTTACTATGCAGGTGTTCTGTCTGCTTTAATGAAGATTAACTCCCCTCAGCGTAATGAATGCTTGAGTGGCTGTGATAACAACAGATTCTGTTTTTTGTTAGAATTTACTTGAGATAGGAATAGTTTTGATCTTTAACCCCAGTTAAATTTGAATCATTTCTTCTTAGTCTTTTGAAAGAAAATATTAAAAAAACATGTCATTGTTCAAAAATAATTTTGATCATTTCCGATTGACGTTGAAAGTTATTTAATAATGTTTTTCTTTTCTTTTTCAGATCTGTAACCATGATTTGTGAGTTGATCAGTGTCGGTGCTCTCCTTCTTGGAGCTGTGTCATCTCAATTTTCACCAGCTCCATCTTCACCTTCCACATTTATCTCTGATGAAGGACCATGTCGGATTTACAACTTTGGTCTGTCAGCAGACTGTCAAGGAAGACAACTAGATTTTGTCCCATGGAGACAACTTCCAGTTACACTTGAAAGCATTGACCTCTCTTACAATGGACTTCATGTTGTCAGTGCAGCTGACTTCCAGAACTTTCCTCAGCTTCGCATCCTTCTGCTGCAGTTCAACAACATTACACACATTGCCAATGAGGCTTTTAAAAATAACCCATTACTGGAGCATCTCAACATTTTTAATAACTCATTGCATGAAATTCCTGCATCACCTCTGACATCCCTCCTCAATCTGAAGGAGCTCTTCATGTCAAATAACCTTTATAGACATGCAACTTTAGCAGACAGTTTCTCTAAATTAGTCAGACTCAAAGTTCTCTCCTTGGGTGGCCCGTTGGTGATGGGACTAAAGAAAAATGATTTCCAGCCCCTAAAAAACATCCAGCTCCAAACTTTTGCCATCAAGTGCTCCTCCAATTTAAGTTACTATGAGCCAGGAAGTTTAGAAGTCATCCACACAAAACAGATGGGCTTTGACATGGCGATCGATCAACGACCAAATGCTCTCCATCATATGCTACGCGATCTCGCCAACAAGACACTCAGTGTCATTCAATTCCGCAACCTGTTTGAATTCACATACTACATGGGTGATGAAGACATTTTCCTGAACTTAAAAGACATTATAGCATCTCAACTCATCTTTCACAGAGGCAAGTTCAACGAAAATCTCCTGAAGATGGCATTACTGAACTTACAAGTGACTCCCATCAAATGGCTTAGACTTCAGTACATCGACTTTGCCCGTTCACCAACATTTGTTGACAGTGGAGCAGGTTCTAGCATAACCGAGCTGAGTCTGGATAACCTGGATCTTTGGTAAGTGTTTTCAAATAGTATGCAAAGATGTAGCGTTAAAAAACATGTTGGAAAATCTAAAACTAAGTTGGCATTATGAAGTGTTTGTTAATATATTGACTAAAATTAGCTTATGCTCACAGTCAAAAGCCCGACCTTTCGGGTCATATCATCGTTGTCATGTCATCGATCGCTTTTTACTGTCGAAAGGAAGTCAGTACTGTAGCCACATTAGGTGCCAAAATATTTGTCCAACTGAAACCCAGGCCCTAGCAGATCATAATAAATTAAAACAGAATATATTTTATGAAGATGTTACATACACAGGAATACCTGAAGAAACAAAATGGTTGGAGCATAATAACTTGAGTTTTCTTTTGTCAAAGAATGACAAAATGCTGCGGTGATGCAAATGTACACCACCTTATAAATTTGTTCTTATTTGAGTTGGTCTATCATATAAAATTACATTGGAATACATATTTATATTTTTGTTCTTAATGTTGCAAAATTTGAGTTAGCTCAAGGGTGATGAATTTTTAGAAGGTACTAATAAAATTCTAAATAAATCTGAATTTTTTTACAGGTATATCAGCAACCCTGATGTGCTGCGATTTGACTGGCGCTTCACCTGGTTCAAGAGAATAAAGCAGCTATCTATTCAGTATGTGTATTTCAGCAGTGTGCCTTGTGACTCCTGGGCTGAGATGGAAGGTGTGGAGTTATTAGATGTTTCAAACAATCGATTGAGTGATGATGTTCTCTACAACAAGCGATGTAATTACAAAGGATCCATGCCAAATCTTCTCACCTTCAACCTGAGCACCAATGAGTTGACCAGTCTAGAAGACCTATCGTCTCTGATAAAGCAGTTCAGGAAGCTGGAGGTACTGGACCTCAGCAACAACAAACTGGGATCTGCAAAAGAAAGTCGACACTGTGTTTGGACACAAAATATAACTCGTTTCATTGCACACCACAACTACTTTTCAAGCGAAGCATTTCATTGTCTACCTACCACTGTTTCTTACTTGGATCTGTCCGATTGCAACATGGACCAGCTGGACTTGACCTACTTTAAGAAAGCCACAAACCTAAAAATGCTGTTACTCAGTGGGAATAAAATTAAGTTCATACCATCTAAGTGGGAGTCCCCATCTCTTCAGATTTTAGCTTTGGATGGAAATTCATTTGGATTGATAAGCAAGGCATCCTTTCAACATATGCCCCAACTGTCTCAGCTCAGGGCAGGAAACAATCCTTACCATTGCACTTGTGAGCTTCATGCTTTTGTCCAGGACACCATTGCAATTGGAAAGGTTAATCTCACTGACTGGCCATTGAATTACAGATGCTATCACCCAGAACCGTTCCTCAATACCTTCATATCCAAATACTTTCCTGGTAAAGTAGCGTGTGACATCAGACTTGTTATCATAATTTCTGTTGCAACCACTGCCATAGTGATCTTAATATTTGTTCTAATTTGCTATATTTTTGACCTCCCATGGTACACTAAAGCCACGTATCAGATAATACAAGCCAAATACAGAGCCCATAAGGAAAATCTAGCAGGGGATGTTGGGAACTTCAACTATCATGCCTTCATATCCTACAGCCACTCAGATGCTGACTGGGTGAGGGACCAGCTCTTACCCTGTTTGGAGAACAACAAGAACCCCTATCGTCTGTGTATTCATGAGCGGGACTTTATGCCAGGAAAATGGATCATTGACAACATAATTGAGAACATTGAAAGCAGTCGCAAGGTAAGAGAGAGTACTTTTGATTTCAGCTAAGAACAGTAAAAAAATAAAATCCTTATCTGCTTCTATTGCAAATAACTTTTGCAGGAAAACAAAGTGACCAGGCAGATTTGTTCTTAGCAAAAAAAAATGGTTTGGATCAAGGAATGTGATTATTTAGCAATGTTACAAGCTAGTTCATTTGCTCATATTTTTGAAATTGTACTTATTAAAAGCATTAATAGAGCTCTTCACAGTTTTAGATGTCAAGTAGTCAAAATCACATTTCATGAATTGGCAATGATTAGAGTTCAGTGTGCTGCAACTTTGTCCCCTGCGAAGTTCCCAACAAACCAATTGGTAACGAACCAATTGGTTCGTTACCAATTGGTTCAAGTCAGAAAAATAAAATACTAGAAATCCCAGAAGTTGTAAATGAACTGTATGTGGACGACCCTGATGAAAACAGTGGTGGGAAGATATATTGGTGGGTTTTTTATTTGCTACATTATTTATGTAGTTTTGTTAAACCACATTTCTTTTAATCAAGAGTTAATTAGATTTAATGTTGTCTTTTACAGGTTATTTTTGTCCTTTCCCGGCACTTCGTGAACAGTGAATGGTGCAACTATGAGTTGTACTTTGCTCAGCAGAGAGCAATGGGAAAGACCTTCAGTGATGTCATTCTGGTAGTGAAGGAGCCCATTGATCCAAGTTCCTTGCCCAGCAAATACTGCAAGCTCAAAAAGATGCTGAGTACCAAAACATACCTGGAGTGGCCCCAACAGGTCAACCAGCAGCCATTTTTCTGGGCACAGCTGAGGAGTGTTCTCGGTAAACCCACAATGACTCGTGAGGAAACTAACAGTATCAGGAGTAGAAACACATCCGAACAATTTTCTGTCGTTGAAGAAAGGATACCAGAAGTAAACAAACCTCTTGAAGGCAACAAAAAAGAAATTCAAAGTGAAATTATTCACAGAACTGAAATTGAACTACAAGATCAAAGAAATCTAGAGGCACAGTGATCAAAATATAATGTGACTAATCACATTTCGATAATGTCTTTTTGGCAAGTGGTGGGATAGCAGGACCCACCACTTCCTCACTTTGTGATGAGAGATTAGTATATAAGAAATCCCCTTTAGGGTAAAGATGAGTTTGTTTGTTTTTTTTTCCTTCTTTACCTATAAATTACCCCAGGCCTTGTCCTCTACTGATAGACCCTAAAAGGTAACTTCAAATTAGACCTTCTATGTTCTTGCTGGATAAGAAATGTTGGGGTTAAATATATATATTTCTGTATTTTCAGTGTTTGTTGCAAACTTTTAGGGTTGTCCCTTAGTGGGGCTGGGAGGGTTGGTGGTGCCTATCTCCAGCTAACATTCCAGGCAAGAGGCGGGGTCACCCTGGACAGGTCACCAGTTTGTCACAGGGCAACACAGAGACAGACAAGACAAACAACCATGCACACACACCTAGGGAGAATTTGGAGAGGCCAATTAACCCAACAGTCTGGAGAGAACCCACCATGCACAGGGAGAACATGCAAACTCTATGCATAAAGACCCTGGGCCCGGAATCAAACCCAGAACCTTCTTGCTTCAAGGCAACAGCTCTACTAACTGTGCCACTGTGCAGCCCATGTGTCATTCATAATCTGTGGTAAGTATGGTCCAGTATGCACTCACTGACAAAGTAATGTGGAATAGTCATGTACGGAAGGCTTTGTTAAGACCTGAAATTCTACAGAAAGCCTCTGAGGAGAAACATAAAACCTTTAGGGTTACTTTTCTTTCTAGAAGTCATCAAGCAACATCCTGGGCAGCTAGCCAGTCCATTACAGGACCCATATAATGACATCAGAGACTATTTACCTAAGAGTCATGTTAGCAAACTGAGAGAGGAGGCCAAAGGATCAAGATTGTCCTCGCAGAGGACAAATCTGCAAATTCCACAAATGTCGCAGATAATATTTGATCACAACCTCCTTGCCATGAGACAACTGTGTAAATCATTATTCTACTATAGCACTTTACCAAAAATAAAAAAAAATATAAAAAAACAAAGAAAGAATATAGAGTCACTGTCAAAAATGAACACCATCAAATAACTAGTCTCCTGTTTATGGGTATTGCACAGTTGTTGTAAAGTTTGATACTTTGAATTTTTTAAATTGTGAATAAAACAATTTTTATGTAGATAATCAAGCAGCGTTTGATTATTGTTGCAAGTCATTACTTTAGTACTTTCATCTAATATTTCAGTAATTTTAGATTGAGATTTATTTAGTCATGATTTTCACTTTGTAAACGTGGGTTTTGTACTTTTCTTTGTATTATTTTACATAAGTATTAATTCCCTTTTTTCTTAGTGATTGACATCACAAAAATAATTTAGAAAACTGTGAAGGAGACAGAGAAATCACAATTTTGCACTGCACGTCACAATGGATTGTTCTGTGTGTAAGCATTTTTGTTCAAAATATGCAGTTCAATTTAAATACATTTAAATACTTGAATGCAGAATGTGCCTGACTCCAGATGCTTGTATGTTACTAGACAGTCATAATCCTTACTATGCAGTGTCAAAGTAAAATTTTGTACTTGGAAATGGGAAAAGATTTATGTGATGCTTGTTCACGAGAGATGCTATCCATCTATTTTGTTTCACTTTGCCAATAAATAAAAAAAATATTAAAGAGTAAAGAGTTTTTCTTTATTTAAATCAGTGAAACAGTGTAGGGTTGTGGTTTGAATTCAAGAGCAGTTCAATTTTAAGACGCTGTCCGAAGGAACAATTCAAAATGTAGATAAAGAGCGTTTCGCCATGTGTCACAGAACATTATTAGAGGTGGGTGCAGTATATTGTACTCATGTAAGACTTGTACAGGACTAAGGCAGTGGTTCTTAACCTGGGTTCGGTCGAACACCAGGGGTTCGATGAGTCGGTCTCAGAGGTTCGGCGGAGCTTCTGCAGGGAGGTAAAGACACATTTGTGTAAAGTCGTGATGACGTCCCCCTTTGCCATCACTTG